TTTTTTTTTTCCGTGGGACTCCTGAGGAAGACAGTCAAATATTTGGATATGGACACCTGGGTGATTGTGTTCCTGTTTGTAGGTGTGCACGTTTCTTGCGCCCTTGCATATGACGACGGTAAGAAGTGAGTTTGTGGAGTGTGTTGTACAATAGAAGCTTCAATAGTGCGACTTCAGCCTGGATAAATCTTGCGTGGCATTAGAGCAGTACATTTTTGGGGAGAAAACACATCGAAACTTTATAGGACCTGTTAATGTTACCGTACATATAGATGTAAATGGAGTTATTTTGCTTTACTCTTATTTCTAAGTTTTATTCCGTCTTGAGTTTTTGAAGTTTTTAAGTTTCTTTTGACGGGGTGGGAGGTGTGCGGAAAAAGATAAAACGGGGAATATGATCCCTTTTTGTTGCGCGAAACGGCGTAGTGTGTCTTCGTAAAAATGCAATGCTAATATTTAAAACGACACGTGTAGGGGTCGGATTCCAAATTTCAAAATACGATAGGCAACCGATTTATTAAGATAACTATTACTTTAAGCGTTTGTGGAAGATAAGTTATTTTGATAGTATTAGTGATGCATTATACCAATGCTCTATCCTTCTTTTAAAAGGAACCTAAACAGTGAAAACGAGACGAGGTCGTAGAGAGGCTGTAAAAGGTTTAAATCATATCTACAAACTTCCTAAGAATGGGAGGCCTGACAGTCTTGCAGGATGTCCTTAATTTGTGTAAACCAGACGATACAGTATATTTAAAGGATAAACGACATCATGCATAGTAGTTAAAAGGCTTTAACGCCGAACTTGGGTACATCGAATGGAGCCTTAAATGGATGAAAAAAATACTCATTATTTGTAACGGTCGAAACGTCCAAATGAACTCTAATATTTTGCAGGTTGAAGTGATCTGTTCGCATAGAAAATGGTTAAATGCGTTACTGCTTTATTTACTACCGTTTCCATTTCTCTCAGGCATGCTTTTGTGAGACTTGAACTGGCTCTGTTGTGAAACTGAGCAGAATGGTACCTTACTTATCATTACATAGTTATGTGCATTTCATAACCTTGTAACCGTTACGAACACTGCTGTTGGATTATTATTTTTTAGACGCTCTCCTCCTTTACCAACTTCACAAAGATGATGCTTCTTTGTGAACCTCAATCCAATATTCTCTCTAGTAGCACTTTTCGGCAAGCAAAGCATCTTATCCCATATGTTAGCTCTTGTGAATTTTGACTGTATAGCTGAAAGGGATTTTTGGCTTGGATGTCTGCGCTGTTTTCCATAAATGTCGTTCACCACAGTTGTACTCCCAGGGCTTTTTCCATGGCAAGCTGCATGATGGAACAATAGATCCCAGTGTTGTCAAGGTGAGCCAAGTCAAAACGGTCAGTAGAACAAAATCTAGTGAACATTGAAGTCTGAAGACCTGTTTTTTTTTTCCATTCTGGGCCACATTTTGTCAACATTCCCTCCCCCCGTCTCTGTGGTGTACCACTGAAAGCAGTAGTAAAGCACAGTAGAGTCCAGCCACGTGCTCACCACTGTCCTAATGCCCCTGCCAAGTCTGTACAGCCTTGCTTATTACAGGACATTGAGTGTTTACGTTGGCTTTGGGCTGCTTTCAGGATCAGATTTTAATGACTTCATGTCAAATGCTGGCAGATTGCATACAACTTCCACAGACATGGAGAAATCCAGAAATGCTCAGTATGCCTTATTATGAAGCCTGGGTACTGTATGAAATTTCATGTGAGGAGAAATGAAGCAATGGAGTAGTTCTATTTGTGCAAATGGAAAAATATACACTGAATTGCTCACATATTTAAGCCTCATACTCATTGCTATCCTTAATTTTTGAATCAGAGGTTGGTATACCATGCTGGCCTTTGAGTCTCGGATGTCGGTATCCTAACCAAGCTATTTTTGTGATGCAAGGTCTGTGCATTTTTTTTCTGTTCAACTCCTGTGGTAATACTTGGTCTTTGTGTGTCTCCCTGTCATTCATACTTTCGAGAGTTTCCATTGCTAGTCTTGACAAAGACCAAGGCTGTCTCATCCTGAATGTTCTTACTAAGCAGTTTTACACAGTTTTAAAGGACTGGCCTGTTCTTCCTAATTTGTTTTTTTTTTATGTACTGCTTCTAAATTTAAATGGTTTTTGTATGTGGGCACTGTCTTGGCATGATGTACACTGATGTTCCTGAAAACTATGAAGTGCAAAAAAAAATGTTCTTGTGTCCTGTTGTACTGTATGTGGTTTTTACATTGACTGTTACACACCAAGCTGTGTAACTGTGTATACCCCTCTGAGTTAACTGAAAGTGATTGTGCTGCAGGCTGTCTTGTCGCATAGTGACGTTTGTCAAGTACAACATGAAGGGAAGCTTTGTTGCTCAAATAGCTCCTCAAATAAAGAAGGCAAAAAGTAAATTTAAGTGATCATGGTTTTTGCATTTTTTTTTTTGCTAGTCAATAATCACCTTTCATTTTGTGCATTATATGGGATCTTCCCTCAATAGTAGCAATTTTAGAACTTGTATGCTTAAAATAGTGCTCAAGTTCGTTGTGCTGGGCAACATCCAGTGCTTTTTAAAAGCCTTATAGCCGAAGCCACACGTTGCTTTCTCTAAATTTCTCAGCTTTAAGGCTTTTATGGAGGGGGGGAAAAAAGGCATATGATTTTGAACCTGGAGTGGAAAAGTTGTTTTCATCATGGTAATTGGAATAACAGACACTGAAGGTGAATTAAAATGGCTGGTTGGCCTCTGGGCTAGTGATGCTTTAAGGCTAGAGCTCAGATGTGGAAATTGCTGCTTAGGTGCTTTCTGTGTATGCAGGCTGTAACATGAGGACCAGAGATTGTGAGAAGATTTATGCTGACAGCTTAAACACGGCTTGTCAAACTGACATTGATTGTGGCTTCAGTTTACTTGGTAGAAGACCACATTACTTAGCAGTCAAACTCCTTGAGGGGAAAAAGCACCTTGCCAGGAAAGTACACTTTCTGTTCCTCCTGTATGCTGATGAACTTCAACTTGCCCAAGCATACTTGAATGTGTAAAACGGGAGTAGATCATTAAGGTGTACTTGTTTCTTTAGTTTTCCTGTAATAATAGGACATAAATTACTTTCTCTATTGACTTCCCTTGCATGATTTTTTTTTTTTTAGAAGTAAAACCTAGGCCTTAACCCTTGTGGAAAAAGCACTTTAAGAGCTTGCATAGAACTGTTATTTGAAACGTGTTCAGACTATCAGGACTCTGTGTCCAAAGTTAGTTAAAACTTTGGAAAGTGGCTGAAACAAGTAATGACTGCTAGTGGGATTAGTTCCTCTGCAGTGTCATTAGTAGGACTTGACTGCAAGCTTGCTGCAGAAAATCTCACCCTTCAGTGATCTTGAGTATTGTCTTGCATTCTGACAAGGCGTTCGGACCTTAATCCCTTTTTGTCAAACTCATGGGCCTGTCAGCGGATTTTTCTGAATACATTTCTATCCCCTGACTCTAGAGAGAAGTTGCTGTTTAATTTCCTGTCACTCTGTACTCTGGCTGTTTAAAAAGTCTTTGCAAATGTATAAATCTTGGTGCACTGAAATTTCTGAATAACTTTTCTTAACATGCTCCGGTTGTCCTTGGCTAAATTTCCCCATCTTGCAAACTCCTGTTGTATTCCTCAAAACTGTAGTGCCAGAGTGGGGAAAACCCTATTCATAATTATCTTGGGGGAACACGTAATTACTGAATCATAGTAATTGGATTTGTTAAAACTAAAAGGACATTGGCAAAATGAGAAAGGTGCTGGATCCCTCATCCCTTGTTCGGGGTTTTGGGGGACTTGAGTGATCCTCAGCAGTGTACCGAAAACCTGATTTTTCTTTACCATGAAGTTTGAATTTCTAACTTGCCTTGGTTAATTCAGCTTTTTTCCAGGTCCTAATTTTGGGACTCCAGGTTAATTGTGCCACAAGGCAATGTCTTCCACAAGGGCTCTGCTGTAGTAATTGTTCTTTGTGTAGTGAAGCTTCTGGATGCTGTTGTAGTAGAAAGGAACAAGAGCTCACCTCCCCACGGTAAGTAAGCTTGGCAGCTGCTGTATCTTTCATTCCAGAAAATGGCTCTGCATAGAACTTTGAAGAAAGCACTCTATTTTCATGACTGCCTTTTAGAGCGGATTACTTTGAATCGTCAACACTTAAGCACATGCTAGTATGGAAGAAAAACAAGATTCTGAGCTTTGGGAAGAGATGCTGTGTATAGCTGAAAGATTAATAATTTGCTGTTCTGCTAACATGGAAAGAGACGTGCAGCACGAGTATCTTCTTTGCCAAGCTTTGTCTTTTGTGTTGGCTAGCTGCAGTGTAGGCATTGTTTTAGAGAACAAGTGGGTGGTAGAGACCTGAAGACCCTACATGATTTTAAAATTCTGATAACCAGCACTAAGCTTGGTGGGGGGGAGGTAAATGTATAAATTGCACAAGACCCTCCTCACTGTGCAGGAGGCTCAAATTCTAAAACAAAAAAATTACAGAGATCTGAAAATCAGGGTCCTTGTAGAATGATTATAACTTGTCGAGCATATTGGCAATTAACTACAATGAAAACCGTTTAAGATGGCAGGGTGTTTTGTTCCACAGTCTGTCATTGAGGCCTAGCTAATGTTAGGCAGGGGTGAGTTTCTTTGAGCCCAGGAATGTTTCTGCTTTTCCTCTGAACCAATTCCACAACGGCAATATTTAAAATGTAGTAACCTCATTTAAAATACAGTGTACACATCTGATCTTTCAATTGAGCTTTGTGCGGTGTAACTTCTTTTTTTTCTTGGCCTGAGGCCTTCTATTATGCTGTACAAAGCTCAATTGTAAGATCAAATTTGGACACTATTTTAAATGAGGTTACAACTTTGTTTGCAATGTATTGTTCTCCTTCTCATGCTTTTAAGAAATCGGTCATTTGGGCCTTCGGCTTCTGGCCTTTCCTTCCTTGCATCTCAAGAGGTTCTTTTAACTCTCCCCTCCATTCTGTAGTGATTCTGTCCAGCCTTATCTCTTCATAATGTGCTGTACTGAAATCTTAAATGTTCATTAATGGAACAGCTTTGAAATCATGGATACCCCATGATCCTCTTTCCCCCTGTTTTGTGGGGTGACAAACTGAGAGGAGGTGGTTTTTAAGTTGACCCTTTTAATCTTGGCTACCTGTCTCCCACCACCACCCCCCTCTCTGTATGTGAAATTTATTACTGGAGACGAGCACTTCCCTCTTCACATTCCTTATTTATGTAAGTGTGCAGCTGAATTGTTTAGATTTTAAGGAAATACTCGGACTACTACACACTGTACCCTCTTTTTTGTTCTTTTAATCTAATTAAGGTCTGTATACTTTATGTATGAAGAATACTGCACTCTTTCTCCAGAAAATATTATTCTCCATTGCTCCATCTCTTTCTGCTTTGTCAGGCATTCAAATAGTAGGCATACTCACCTGCTAATGGTCCTAGTATTTAGGCTTCAGAAGGATAGGACTGGACACTAACAAGACAATTTGAAATCAAACCTAATTAGGAGTGGAATTCTCCCTTGGGGTGGGGGGGAGGGATGATCTTGTAAGAAATGTTGGTAAAATATATACCAAAGCAGGTAGGCTTGGACCTGGGTAAAGTCCAAGGTTAGAAAACAATACAGTATGGTATAAATACCATAGTTCAGGTGGGAAGCTGCATCAGCATGTATAGGCTGCAAAGGAACAAGTAATAGGTTTATGTGAACACCTGAAGAAGGCTTCACAGCTGGAATGTTTTCTCTTCTCTTTTCAGCATGGAATTAAACCTCTTACTTGTTCCTAGATGTACTGTAATCTGATATAAGCAGGTCTCATTGTTCTGTTGTAAAAGGAAAGCAGGAGCCACTGTTCTATACAGTGTTTTAGAGCAGATCATGACCATAAATGTTTTGTGAAGGTCAAACTGTTTCCTGCAAAGATCTCGCCCAGGCAGAATATTTACACTGAATCCTTTTGGGACGTTTTAGCAACCATATCGGTAGGTTAGACAATCTAGTTTTGCTCCAAACTACTGTAATGTGGTGAAAAGAGGGCAGAGCATCCAGGGAGAAAGCTACAGTATAAGGGGTGGTGGGTCACTGTAAAGACTCTGAAGAGGTCTGAGGGGGCTACATTGTCAGCTCTCCAAAGTGGGGAGGGGAGTGGAGTGGTGTTTTGACATATGTCTTTTAGTTTTTTTTTTAATGTGTGACCCCATTTTGCCTGCTTCTTCATGCAACATTTTCTTGACTATAATGGAAAAGCACCTATGCCTCCATATCCTGATCATTTCAGGATAGACCACTGTTGCTGTGAATCTCTTTTCCATCCTTGAAGACTGCTGTAATCTGTATCTACTGTACAGTGAAGAAGGGTAACTATGGAGCTTTTATTATCTTTCGTATTCTTGAATCATGTGAACATGGTCACATGGGACTGGCATTGATTTGTGCCAGACATGCTACAGAACCTCCGCATACATGCATACAGTAGGATAAATTGCCAAGCAGAAAGTTTTGGCTTTCCCTGCCTTCCTACAAGATTGTTTTCTTAAGCCATTACTACAGCATACTTAGTGGTTGCTTTGGTAATTGATTTCTCTGTTGGTAAGATCAAACCATGTTACTCACCCTGATGGTGGCTTTATGAATGTGATGAACAGGTTTTAATGGGGTGGCTATCCATGGCATCTAAGTAACCAAAACTTTCGAGTTCTCAAGTTAGAAAAGAAATGGGGGAACTGCTTATTAAAACTTCTCGCAGGAGCATTTCAATAAGCAGAGAGATTTTTTCATCCAAGGTGTTTGAGACATTAAGTGCTGGTACAAATGGCAGAATTAACACCTTAACTTATAAGGGAACAATTTCATCCCCTTATGTGTAAACAAGCACTGATTAGAGTGATTAATGTGGAAAATCTGAGCAAAAGCTAAGCCGTTTAAAGATGAGGGCAAGAAATTGTATAAACAAAATGGCTTGTAGCAGGCACAGAAGTAAATGCTATAAAATGCTGTAAATCATCCTTGGCATACAACGCTTCCACTACTTGGGACTGACTAGTGAGAAGTTGTCTTGTGAGTTTTTAAAGGGTTTAGTGGAGTTTCTGAAACTCTCTTGAGGGAACACAGTGCAAAATTGTGAGGCCTGGCACAGATCTGGTCCAAGGCATCGCCTGCCAGCAACAACTGCATTAGTAAGTGGAAACACATTGATGTCAGATCTCAAAAGATTGATTCTACTTCCCTCTCTGGCCACTCATTTATAAATGATTCCTATTGGCTGCCTGAGCTCTCCCATGCGTCACACTGCCTACTTTGAAGGAAAATCAACAGTCTGTTCTGGGACTGTAGTGTTCTGTCTAATGACCCATGTGTAATGGGTTTTGCCATGCAGTTCTTAAGACATTCACCATTCTGAAGAAAATCCCGCTAAATTGCATTGTATTCTGATTTGACTTGGTGTCCCGCTCCCTGGTCTCGAGCAGGTTGTGTTTCCATCATTTTCCCTGGAGGTAACGCCTCCCTCTGGACTTTTCCTGATTTCCCGCTTTCCAGCCTTGAGGTTAAGTGATTTCTCATCTCTCTTTCCAGGGTAGGCAGCTCAGTCAAAACAAATGCCGGAGGAAGTATTTATTAGCGTGGTTCTCCTTTGATCTTGAGAAAGTTGCATAGGGATGGTGTTTGAGTTAAAAGCCTGAAACCTTTCATCTTGCTTTGTGTGACTTTTTTTAATGTGCCTGCCACCTTGACTGCTGTAAGATGAATTTGTAGATGCATGTAAAGCACTGGTAATGGTGTGGGTGTGCTTTTTAAAAACTGAGTAAATGGTACTTTGCATGCTTCTGTGCTTTAAGGCACTGTATAGTATGAGCCTGGGTGACCCACAGAATCCAGATTCCAACAGACGATGGAATAAGAATTTAATAGGATGTCTACACTGGGACTCATGGGTTCCCAAATGAGTTCTGTTGGGATCGCTTTATTTGCACATTATACACTTCTGATGCATGCTTACCCTTTACTGACCAAGATAATGTCTTCACTGATTTTGAATTAAAATGGCAAAATGCAGGTTGTACTAGTGAATCTTTCCATTCTCTATTCGCTATGGAACTGTCCTGAGAAATACTATTATTGGGGCTGTTCCTTTTTATATATAGTAAAATTGTTATACAATGCAACTTCTGTAGAGCTCCTTCGAAAATCATTTTGCATGTCACATTTATCATGCTTATTATTTGTTTTTTACAGGGCCCTAAGATCTTGGCCCTTGCTGTCATTTCTGAAGCGAGCTTTCACGTTAATTCAACTGTTAGAATGTTTCCTATTAAGTGATATTGTAAGTTTTCCCACTGTATTGGTAATGACTGTATTGGTATTGCTGATATCAGGTTCTTTTCCTCACCACCCTCCTGTGGAGTACAGTAGGTATACCTTTTAATACCATTAATCAGTAATGGTATCCTGATTTTTTTTTTTTAAATGATGCTGATTTTGGCCTGCAAAATCTATGGATTCATCTGGACAGGATGTTTATCGTAGTGCCAAACCAGCACATTTGCTTTTTCGTTTAAAACGCCATTGTAATGTTCTCTGGCTGCACAGAAGTTGCTGAAAATGCCTTTCAGTTCTATTTTTAATATTCTACTGTCTCTAGTCTGGTTTTTTTGTGTTTTAGGGTCTGGATATTCAGCGTTTGAAGATGACGAAGACTCTTATGCACGTAGATATAAAGGTGAAAGCTTCAACTAATCACTAACCTGCACCAGCTCAAGAAGCCTGCACAGCATGCATGACTGCCGTTTTGATCACTGTAACGCCACCAACAACAAGATAGCATGGGAGCTGACCACCGTGGACCCAGTGCAGTGAGAGTCAAGATGGTCTCTAGGCTAAATATGAGCCCCAAATATTTGATTAAAAGCTTAGCTTGGCAAGTTAAAACTATGGTTAGACAGATATGTGAAAGACTTGGTTCCTGATCAAAATGAACAAAGCAACCAGTGTTTTTTGTTCATTTTAATGGTAATCAGTAATTGAATGGTTATTTTAGAGTCTTATGGTTGGGACTCTAAAAATAAAAATGGTGGATGGGTGGCTATTGAACTACCTAAGGATCAGTTTACCTCCCCAGGTTGGTTTTTAATAAAAGGTCATTTAAAAAGCCTTAAGGTTTGTAACAAGTTTTGAAATGCTCACAGTTTGATCTCATCTCCCTTCCAAAAACCTCAACGTAAGTATATGCTCCCAGCTCATGCTGATATGTTGTGCTGTAAATTTTCTGCTTAAAAATGTGGTATTGATTGTGTCTTCTTGGGTAAAATTCCTGTCATGGTCAGAGTTGCATTTACCTTCTCTTGCCAAAATGGGGAGCTCTTTTCCTACTTATTTCTACAGAAGAACCACCTCGATCATGTAAAATGTAGCTGTACCTGTTTTTTAATTCTCTGAAAACAATTGAAGTATATTGCAATAGATGGAAGATTTGCATTAGTGAATAAAAGCAGAGTTCAGTTGGATTACTGCCTTGTCTGAGTGTTGACCCAGGGCCTATGGAGAGTATTAACTTTGTAACTTTTATATTTTTGGAATACTGCCCGTCTTGGCCTTGTAAAACCTGAGATCTTTCAATTGTCAAAATTTATAGGAGCCTTTTGGGGGGGTGGGGAGATGAGGACTGAATAGACTTGCCCAGGCCAGGAGTGTGTGAAACTAAATCTTGAATTGTGTAGGAATTAACCGAGGAGCATAATTTTAATGGTGTGGGTTGTTTGCTCCAAGTGACAGTACAGCATTGTGCATAAACTGTTGGCTAGCAACCCACAAAGTTCTGCGTTTCGTTTGTGACGGTGACATTTGTTAAAGGACTGTAGCAAATGCTTATTTCCAGCTGGAAAATTCCAAGCCCATAAGACTTTTTCTTTTAAAACAGATAATGCTTGTTACATGTATAAAACATGCTATGAAAAAAACACATTGTGCGTTATTTGGCGTGCACATGAACTGCTGCCAGCTTTCCAGAAGATTCTTGCATGTTTTAAAGGGGAACTGCAGTCCCAATTTCACAGACCAGTTATTAAGTCTTGGTAATCAAAGGGACAGTATTACAAAATTTTACTATTGTTAATTCAGGATTTGTAAACTTTGGGAGGGTACCCTGTGGTCTGTTTTGTTACAAAGCACTGCTCCCTCCACAGGAGAGAGCGCAAGTTTGTGAGAACTGTGAGCAGGAAGGTGGTGGCTTAAATCGCTAGTCAGTGTAATAACTAATATACAAGTGAATAAGTGCAGATTACATTAGAACATATGTTGTATTTGTCGGCAAACCATCACGAAGTCGCAGGTAGAACTTTTCTGTTGGATAAAGGGAGGTGTTCGCACACCTGCTTGTTTACAGTGTAATAAGATGCTCAACATCACTGGAAGTTCCGTTTCCTCATTCTGAGGAGCAGCTGCCCATACCTGGCAATTGTCTAGTTTGTGATGTGCACCGTAACGTGTAAACCCTACAATTTACATTTGTTAATCATTGTTTCACATGCGCTCATCTATACCAATACATTCTAACCCCAAAATACGACTAAGTTGAACACTGATTCTGAAGTCCCCCAAAAATATGCAGTTGCTCATGCAGAATGGCTCGTATACAGAAACACCTGAAGGCCTATCTACATGGAGATTTGTTATATAGCTAGGAGGTTTGCCGCATGCCATTTATGTCGGAAATCACGAAGGAGTAGCCTGTTGCTTTGTGACTGGAAGTCTCACATTTTGTTAAACTGGTATTTCCACAGGTAAGGACGTGCAGGGCTCTGTATTGTGTGGCTGATCACATTTAATAGCTTTTTGCTCATGTAAAGTACACAAGACTTGTAAACTGGATTGCTATCCTGTTTCTAGATCACATTTACAGCCCCCCTATTAAGGTTTGAGGCGTTCATGCCAATAATGAAGTATGAAAGCCAGACGTTTGGTTGTGGGGAATGTCATTCATCTTCTGACGGGAGAGCTCACTGTCCGGCCCTGAACTCGTTCCCAGGAACACCTTGGTGTGCTCCCGTCAAGGTGAAGAATGGCCATGTGAGCTGCCAGACCCCCCGGGGGGAGTATTATAAAAACGTGATGGGCACCCGGTGCAAAATCGGCTGCAAGAAGGGCTACGAAGTGGTGGGGCATCCGGAGATCATCTGCATGGCGAACAAGAGGTGGTCGGGAAACTATGCGTGTAGAGGTGAGCATCTCAACCTCAAGTTTGCCATCTGAGGTAAGCAGGCAAGGCAGAGACCCGTCAAGAGCCGAGGATTTCCTGTTGCGCTTTTTATACTGCTTTATTCTGTTTAAGTGAGGGTCTGATTTGTCCTAAAGCAGTGTGATCTAATCTAGTATTTTATTCACTAACAGTGAATGATCCTGTTGGAGAGGGAGGGTAACAGTGTTTGGATTAAACAGTCTAATAGCAAAGTGGCCAAATATATCCTCGAGTTGGGTTTTATTCTGTACTTTTATCTCGGTATCTTACATTGTATGATGCTGAGCCTTTTTTTTTCTTTCAAATTGATTTTTTTTTTCAGAAATCCGCTGCCCTAAACTGACCATGCCAGCCAATGGAGGGTACAAGTGCTCGGATGGCTCTTACTTCAACTCCAGGTGCGAGTTCTTCTGCTCCCCAGGGTATCAGCTGAAGGGAGACAGGATGGTGATGTGCATGAGTAACAAAGCCTGGACAGGGAGGCACACCAGCTGTGTGGGTGAGTCGGAAGCCCTCTTCTGTTTCTGGTTACTCTGTAATTCTCGCAATTAAAGAGCGGAACTGCACATGCTTCCACACTGACGATAGCATTTGTTTCAGAGCTACTCTAATTGGATAATGAAGTGGTTGCAAGGAAAGAACAGTTCTCAAGTCGGCTTTAATTGCCAAGCCCAGAGGATATAATTGTCTTAATTTTGTGTGCAGACACAGTAATGTGTGAAACCAGTTGTTGCATCTCTGTCTTTTCTTTAGCACTTGTGTAAATTCTCTTACACTTGTATTCCACTGTTTGGACTTCACTCAAAGCCTTTAAAATTTAGGCCCAGTGAATTCCTTGTTTGAAATCACTCTGATCACTCTTGCAGTAACCCTTCACCTTGAACAGATCTCCTGGGATTTTCTCCAGTAATGAGACCACTGGAATTTAACAGCTCTATAAAAGAGGGCATGCGAAAAAGAAACCATGGGTTCTGTTCTTCAATGACAAGGCTGCCATTTACCCTCTTGACCAACAGATGTCAGTATAGTCTCACTTTAGATGCTACTCATTCACCCTACAGCTCTTGCTTAATGATGTAAACTAGATTTCTGTTGACCTAAAGCATAGACTGCTGAACTGACTTTCTCGCACTTGGGTCATCTTCAGAAAGGAGTAACTTATTGATACAAATTCCCAGGGTTTTCATTTCCTGTGTTTACTCTACTCTAGCTGCCTCTTAACATAGTTATCAGTATACTGTATTGCACAATGTTAATTAAGCTTGATGTAATTGCATAGCATTTAATGCTTTTCATGCCAAAGGATGGAAGACTTGACATAGAGGAAGGGATCCACTTCTTCCACTACTGAAGCGCAGCACCTAACTGGGTGACTTGAGACAGCCATTATGTAGCAGATCAGTGTGGAATTTTATTTTAACTTGTGCAAGTACACAGGAATATTTTGCCAGGACACTATAGTTTAACACTGCAACTATTCTGAATAGTGTCATGGATTGCTGTCCGAGTGGTTGGTTTAAATTTTTTTTACTCAATGATGGCAGTCTTCCTGGTTACCATCCTAGGTCATTTAGAAAATGTGGTCCAGAGGGTGGAGTCTCCCAGCAGCAACCTCAGTTTCCTTAGCTCTCCCTCCACTAAGCAGGTCCATCTGAGACTTGGATGTGATGGTATAGCAGGTGGTAATATCGGTCCCATGGGAAACAGTATTTGATTATTCGCACTGAAGCATTACTGGTGTGGAAGTATACAACTTCTGTGAAACAGAGCTTAGTTTTGTAAATGGGGGGGAAAAAACAGTATGAAATGGTAAATGTACTACCCTAAGCAGCTTTATTGGCAGTTGAAAGCAAATCCTACCTCTGCCTGCTGTGGAGTCTTGGATGCGAGTTCCTTTGTTCAGCTTAAATTGAACTTCCTGACAACTCGGTATAATTATTGTGAAATGTGATGGAACTGAAGAAAAGAGCTTCTATAGGACTAATGGCTGAGGATAATGGCTTTCTCTTAAATGGTGCCGAAATGTCCTTGGTCTCCTGCCACCTCACTGAAAGCCTTACCAGATCTCCCAGGAGACCACATAATCTACTGCTTTTCCCCGGAGAAGGGGGTTTAACTCTCTGACCCATTTTCATTGGCAGTGAAATAAGCTTCCCAGAAGTGTTAATTCTTACTCGGCATCCTCTATTATCGTTCTACCTAATTTCAGAATATACTGTAGCTATTTAACACTTCTGTAGCCATGGTTGTGCTTGTCAGTTTTCTATATTGAATCTTGTGTAATCTGTCCCTTCAGCCACAAACTAATCGGATTTGAAGCGATTTTTAAAGGAACTGCAAAACCAGTTTCAGATGTGACTTCCACTGTAAGTCAACTTACCTGGTTTGCGAAAGCATGGGGCAGTTTTAACCTCCTAGTGGGAGCTCTGTCGGACATGAAGGGCCCTGTATTTAAAATGCTTAAGCGTTTTGTTTTCATCTCTCCTTTAACGGAGATCCTGCAGCTTGAGATCTGGCCAATGCTGTCTTTCCCAGAGTGTCTAGTAATTTCCAGTTCTATGGCTAGATTAGAGATGGTGTGATTAAGAATGAATATCCAGTGAACAAACAGAATATTGTTCCTGTCCGGTTAATCCTATTGCAACATTGGTGCCCTTTTAGAGAGTGGAGGGAGGGGGAAAATCCCCCAACTCATTTTAAATAGATAGTGAAAAATACAACTATTTCCATACATGGCAGCATATAACAATTTGCATGTAGACCAAGCTTCTAACCGACAAATGATTAAAACTGGTAATACTGTCTGGTTCTTTTTTTATATTTGTCAGATCCTCTTTTTTAAACTCTTCCAAGAGTTCCTTTGCTCCACTTTTCTAGCATCTGGCTTGGCTGTCAGCAGAAATGGAGCCTCCTCTCTTGACAGTAGAGGGCTCCGAGCGCAAACCTTTCAAATCCAGGCTGCTTGTCATGAGTAGCCCCATAGATCAGGCCACTTTGCAGCATAAAGGTGTTCTGCATGGAGGTCGAAGGACCTTTGCCTCTAATACAGTAAGTTGCTATTGCACAAAGGTCATCCATCACTTGGTAAATGTCACGCTACAGTACCTGATTTCTTACCATATCTTCAAGTGATAAGCTTCCTAAACAGTTTGCTCTAAATGGCATCTGTGCTGAGGCAGAACGTGATGGGGGGGGGACGTGTGTGCTACTGTGACCGGAACAATGGTCTGCAAAACCCATTAGCTTGTGAATAGTACAATACAGTATGAGCAATTATTTGATATTGAAAGGTGTTCATCAGAACTGCTACAAAATGTACATGCCTTTTATGACCTGAAACCAATTTTAATCATTGCTTTTTTTTTTTCTTGCAGTTCAAGTCCAATTTACCTTTTACAATTGGTAACATTTTGGTAAAGCTTAGTGTTTGCTGTCACGTTTAATGCAGATCTACACTTGATTCTGGGGGTAAAGCTCCTTTTAGACATTGCATTTTGCTCCAGATTTTTGCCCTTTAATCTTCCCATAAAGGCAGGTTTTACTTTTTCCTCTTCTATTTTCCATAATTACCATTTCATTGAGGAGAAATGGAGAATAGACCTCCTAGAAAGCTAAGTGAGTATGGTCTTAACTAGTTGCAGGAGTTTTGCAATTACGGTGTTTGCTGCCTTGTTTTGTTTGGCTTGCATATGAAGCATGTTCCATAGGGGAGTAGAGTAAACCATGGATAGAGCTGTTAATGTGAGACTTTTAAAAACAGACACCTGAATAGGCAGTGGTTTCTTGCTTCTGTCTTGTGCTTGTGCTAAGGGACTTGACTCTTGGCCTCGGCAATGGATTAAGATTTCAAACTTTAACACATTAAGGGCACTGGGATTCTCCACAATCATTACCTGGCATCGCTGGGTACTGGCCTTGTAACATTTTACATCATGATCTACTGTGTGATCGCGTGTTGCCAGCAGGAGGAGGTCTTGAGTGCTGCTGTTGAGTAAAAATCCTATTGTGGCTGAATTTCCTCTAGTGAAAAGCTTGGAGGGATGTGCAATTAATGGTGGGGCACCCACCATTATATAGTGTAATTAATGTACACCATATTGTGTATTGGTGTACCTCCAGATCTGATGGCAGACCTGCTCAGCTACCTTCATGTTCAATAGCTGTAGTCAATTTGCTTTTCCCCGCAGATGTGGAGCCCCCGACTATCAAGTGTCCTAGCGTCAAAGAGAAGACGGCCGAGCCAGGCAAGCTTACAGCGCGCGTCCACTGGGACACCCCCGAGGGAAGGGACACCGCTGACGGCACTCTGACAGAGTTGGTTTTTGCAGTTGGCCATTTTCAGGCTCTGATTTGTGGTGATTAATGACCAGACCCATTAACAATATTGTTTTGTAGTGTCCTTTTGAAAGGAAGGAGTCCTGGCTCTGATTTCCCTGAGGGAGACCACAGAATCCAGTACACGGTATATGACCGAGCAGGAAACAAGGGTACCTGCAGGTTCTCTGTCAAAGTGCGAGGTAGGTGGTTTGGGGTGTTCTTTGTTTAGCACTGTTACTTCATATTTCCTGTTCAAAGGAAAGAGTGTTGGGAAGCGTATACTACTCAGTCCAATATGGAGTATAAACTAGGTAGTGTGAGCACCAAAGAGGTGACCTTGTTACCTACACAAATGTGCATCTGTGGGGTTTTTTTTGTTTATTCAGTGTGGTTCTGAGCTTCTTGCTGTGGCAGAAATGAATCTGCTTGGTCGCAGGGCAGCCATTAGATTTAGTTTTGCTGGGAGACTTTCCCAATCCCTCTGCTTGCAACCCTGGATCCTGCCTACCCTGTTTTTTCTCGTGGAATTCTCGACTGCTGGGACCCATGATGCTATTGGGGGTGGGGCTGGGGGGCACCCTTGGAAGTACTAAGAGCTACTATTAGCCCAGTCAGGGCCTCAAAGTTAAATGGTTTCCATTGTGGCTTTGACTAGTTTGGAGGTGAAAATGTAGATGCGAGTTCCTCTACGGCAGAGCAAGAGTTCTTGTAGATCGTGACTGTTTTCTTAGCACAATTCCGCTTGAACTTGGCTTGTTTAAATGTTTTCTTTCTGTGCCACAGGCCATAAGCATTCCAGTTTATTAGGGTGCAAAATAGTATTAAACTGTAATGCTGTTAAATACAAGACCATATACTGCATGATCTAGCAGTGGGTATTCCCTGAATTCTATGATGGGCAGTCTGCACCAGGGGTGCACTGGATACTAAAATGGATTTCTGATGATGTCCAGGTGTAGAAGTCTCAGATGGTGGCTCTCGTCTAAATACCTTTTAAAGAGTTAAACCTCGGAATTCCTTTCAAAAAGGGAATGCATCTTCAGTATTGATGGATTAATTGGGAAAAGTACCTGCTAACAGGCCGCCTAGAATTCCTACTGTAAACTAATCTGCATGCTTTCCCATCTGGGAATCACCAGGTTGATTGTCTGCTGCTTTGCTGCCCTTTGCATGTAAGGTTTGTTTTCTAAATAACTTTCTGCTGTTTAGGTCCTTAACTTTATCGCTACTTACTGCTTTTATTGCTGTGGTCCTGGCTTTTGCTTAAGAGCTGGATTTAGTGCTTGGAGGTGTGCCATGATGGGTACTGTATCAAGTAGGCGAACTCCTGTGTTTGCTCTCGACCAGACAAGTACACAGTACTGTTAGTAGAGCAGATGTTATTTTCAAGGTGATCTAAAATGGCTTGTGACTGAATCTGGTCCCATAACCTTGATCTATAGTATATTGGGTAAATTTAAGGCTGTTCAGTGTTTCAAATGCGCTCTAAAGTTACTTTTTTGGATTATAAGGTGGCAGATGTCCCAGATGTTCAAGGAGAATGCATGGAAATTGAACAGAAATGCAAGGTATTCCTGTCGGTTTTAGATGGGTGTCATTTGATACGTTTATATCGAGAGACTTGTCTCGAGTCAAATCGAGAGACTTGGGTCAAGTGTTGGCTTGAGAAATGGCACCATTTGAGAATGAGGTGCCTTTCAGAGCTCCAGTGAACACAAGTTTGAATAGGTAAAAATATATGCCACTTTTGATATACTGTAGGTGGAGTATTGGTTTTTATATATCTTTTTAAATAACCCCATAACTGCAATAATTGAGATGACACTTGTAACGTATACCTGTATTTGAAGCACCGATGCCTTGCATCTGAAAAAAATGCTTCTTTTGTTAATGGTCCCTGTAATTGACATAATGCATAGAATGCAAGAAAGGGAAGTCATCCTGCTACTAGAAGCAGGGGCCTATGTGGGAATGAGAATGGTAACTTCCGTTATCTGGTTATAAAGAGCACTATCGGGGGAAACGAGCAGAAAAAAATTTCTTCGTCGCATGGTGCCTTACCTTCAGCTGAAGTCAAGACCTGATGATCGCTTCACCTCTGTAGACTGGACTTTTTCCCAGTCTCCCTTCTGCCTTCAGTAGGTTTCTACCAATTTAAAACTCAAGAATTCTTTACTAGCCTCCACTGCTAACTGCATTATTCTTGGCATGCCTGGATTTGGATATGCAAGGATAAGCTTATTTGCATGTTTTGAGGCAGCAGGTGCAATGCAGGGTGTTTTGCCTGGGGTTGTGAATGTTCAAAACAAAGGCTGGAAGAGGGATTACTGGATTCTTCAGCAAAATGGAGCATGTTTAAATGGTTTAACCAAACCCTGACTTTCTTGCAAATGGTCTTATGTAATTGAGATTTTGTAACTTGATCTTTACTGGTCAGCTCCTGTTCACCATAAATGGTACACAAGAGCAAAGGCAAAGGTTAAGATGTATTCAGTAAACCAGGGAAGTTCATCCAGGCTGGATTTTGGTCGATTTAAAAAAAAGTGTTGCCTTATGTTCCTCCAAACTTCAATTTATGAAGCCAAACTGGGCTTCCAGTTGTCCATTGTAATTGTTATTCTAAGGGCATACAGTATGCAATCTGAACTGCATGGTGCTCAGTGGGTTCTCATTGTACCAGACTGGAAATGCGCCAGTCTGGTTGGCAATGGGATTGAGATTAAAGTGCTTCGTTGTCAAAATGATTAGCGTCTTTATTAAGAGGGCCCCAACATAATTCCTCCGTGTTGATGGGGAAATCCATGACCAGAAGAAGCAGGTGTTTTAAAACTTCTAGTGTGTCTTGCAAAGAGCAAAACCCAAATTGGGCATTTTGAAATGGCAGGAAAGTCAGGGTATAAACATGCAAAGATCTTGCATCCTAAAATGTGGTGATTTAGTTGTACATAGGAATATGAAGCCTAATTCATCTTGTATAACAGTGGATCACTGAAGGATGGAGGAAATGTCACTTTCTCCTGGAGCAGAGAACCTTTTAAGAAAAGCTTAAGTGCTGGAAAGGAACTGCAACCAATACAATTTGAGTAAACTTGATGGCAGTAGCCTCAGTACCACTGGGTGCCAACGTTTGTCAAATGGGAATACCAGAAAAAGACCGTCCCTCACTTATTCTGCATCTTGCATAATTCCTGCCAACTGGAGTTGGGGGAATCTTAACCAGAGTAACTTACAGAAACTGTTTATCTTGGAGTGCAAATGGTAGCAGTTGGTTAGGCACGTGGTCGATTTATGGTTTGTTCAAGAAACCCTTTAATTTTTACAGCGGCTGTGCTCCAGGGGAGACTTGCCAAGACCGATGCGAGGTCTGAGTGTCTTGTGCTTGGGGTATTGCAGTTCGCCGCTGTGGCCGGCTGAGCCCGCCAGATAACGGCTACATGAAGTGCGACGGCGACGGCGATAACTACGGCGCCACGTGCGAGTTCTCTTGCATGGGAGGGTACGAGCTGCAGGGCAGTACGGCCAGAGTCTGTCAGTACGGGATGACCTGGGTCGGCTCCGAGGCCTCTTGCTCGCGTATGTATGGCGGGTTCAATCCCCTCCGATCCGGGGGGTGGAGTTCTCCGCCTTCCTATGGGCGATCCGATTTGTGTGCAAGGTCATGTTAGTGCTGCTGATGAAAAGACTTCAGATTTTTAGGTTCCAATCGCCTGTAAACCCAGTGTTCTCCTGTCAAGATGGGTTACAATAAGTAAAGAATGGTGAGAATAAATAAAGAATATGGTACTTGGGCAGTTTCTCCAGTTACTTTATTACATTTGAGTACTTGAATTTGTGCTGTTCACTAGTAGTAACTATCTTGTGAAAGTTGTACAACTAGGCTCTCTGGAACTTTAAAAGTTTTTGCCCAGTTCAAAATTTGCATCTGACAGATCTCTGCAGGTTTCTGCAAAATGTATCTGGTTAGCTTAAATGGATGACCTCCATTTACAGTACAGCAGCTCTCTGCCATATAAGAGCTGTGCCATCTTCTGTTCCAACAATTTCAGGAGACATTAAGAGAAGCAATGTCAGGGTTGCTCTTGTTGAGGTAGGTGTACAGGAAGTGATCAATGTAGAACAAATGTAGCTTATGTTCTGAACTGTATTTTTCATTCTAAGCTTGTACAATTTAATTCAGGTGCTTGAAAACTACACTAAGAGACAAGGATATGGTACCAGTTTTAGATTGTTACTGGTCCCCAAAAACATGCAGTATTGCAGCAAAATAAATTTTCTGCTCAGCTGGTGATGAGAAAATGTTCATACTGTTTAAAAAGTATTAACTTTGCTATAACAACCATTTTCTCCCCTGAGACAATCTGCTGTGCAAAAAGCACAAATCCATAGAGGGTTGGAAGTCGGAACTGCTTTTCACTGTGGAGAACCCAGTCAGCAGTTCAGAAAGCATAAAGCAAATTGATCAAGTTCTAGAATTCCACTTAAAGGGACACTGTGCATCCTATAGTGCAATTGTACAAGTAAACAAGCATAATCGGTTCTGCTCTTAGTTTGGGGAACTAGCTTGTTTTGTGGTCTGTTTTTAATGCAGCTATGAACATCAACGTGGGGGTGAGGACAGCAGCTTCCTTCCTGGACCAGTTCTATGAGAAGAGACGGCTCATCTTCTTGTCGGCTCCTACTGCAGCCCATCACCACTACAGGACTCAGATGGAGATTCTCCAGGTGTGCTTTGAACGATTACCAGCTTGTTTGTCTACCGTTTTTTTCAAATATGACAACCATCCATTGGAGTTGTTCAGGGTTGCATAGGTCTGCTAGGATACTAATGTGGAAATTGTTCTAAACAATTTCTTTGAATATTTTAATCAAAAAGTGTCGCACTTTGTATGGTGTAAGGTACTTTGCCAAGGAACTGTCATTCTAAAAACAGGTGCTGTCCCTGACTTAAAGGTAATGGAAGAAAGCTACTGAATTTCCATCTAAAAATGCATTTTCAGTCTTTTTAATTACTGGAAATGGTTTCAGTACCAAGTAGATTGGTAACCAGACAACATCCCAATGAATGAAATGAGGTTTGCAGTGTTGGATTGTACAGTTGCCTTATACGGTGTAAATTTTAAAGTTTGTAATGAAAAATTCACTTTAATTCCTAAAGTAACTTGGAGTGGATGCCAGTCTATCTAATTTGCTCATTGTCTGTGGTAAGTTTTTGAGTATAATGACAGCCTACCGATTTTTTCTTTTCCGGAAACCTTAGGGGCATATTTCCCACCCCCAAGACATTTTTCAGTCTTGTGCAAATTAAAATTAATCTGGGAATTGGGTTACTAACAATATTGGTGATTGTTTTCACTTTGATCCTTGAAATGCATTAGCATCTATAGACATTTCGGAGAGCAAAGCACATTTTTAATATGAAAGTATCCGGTTAAGTCGGGCAACAGACACTTCCACCTTGGTAAAAGGATGTACTGGACTCTATCACAGTGAGACATCTATTATTTATGAGGCAATGCCAATTTTAACTTGCACCTTCTTACAGGCTAAACCTCCATGTGGTTTGCTCACAAAGCTTTAACCTTTTGTGAAAGTCATAATATGGATCAAATTAGTGGCCTCCTATTAATGCAAGTAAGTTGATTCATACCAAAACATTCATTAATATGGCAATTTATGTTCTTGGAGATTCTTAACTTTTTATGACACCACAAGCAGAATTGTATCTACTATTTGTGTAAGCTTATTGGTGCTTTAATGTTGGTTTGTGGCCTCAGTAGGTATCCTTTTAAGAGCTATGTATTGCAGTACATGAACACTAATTTTTCTAACGTGCCTGGACTCCTTGTTCTGCTGAGCTGTTTAATTATCTGAATGTTTGATCAAAAGGATTCCTTAACGTCTATAAACCACACCAGGATACCAATTTCATTCCTTTTTACCTCTGGGACGTCTCTCTCCACAGAGCTTCTAGAATTCAGATTGGATGTCCTATTAAAAAATCTCAGACTAGCACCAATACATGAAGAAAGCAGAAACTTCATTGCGAGTTTTGAATATTGAATACAAAATCATTTTTGAAACGGTTAATTTTGGGTGTAATTTCCCTTACAAGTACCGAGACACTTCTTCTAGTTGGTGCTACTGATGTTAGTTTTACTTGTTGCCTTCTGGTACTATTGTTTGAACTATAAGCTTATTGTTCGTGTTAAACACTGGCTCTTCTATGAAATTTGGGGCGGAGAGGTGGCTCTGTGGCTAAGGATCTCCGCCTGTGACTGGAAGGTTGCCGGTTCGAATACCGCGACTGGCAGAGAAATCCTACTCCGTTGGGCCCCTGAGCAAGGCCCTTAACCCCAACTGCTCCAGGGGCGCTGTACAATGGCTGACCCTGCGCTCTGACCCCAAGCTTCTCTCCCTGTCTGTGTGTCTGTGTCTCCATGGAGAAAAAAAAAAAGCTGGGGTATGCGAAAAGACTAATTCCTAATGCAAGAAATTGTATAGGGCTAATAATAAAAAGAAACAAGAAACAATTAAGATCGGAGCAAAATCATGAAAGGACTTGTTCCACAAAACATGTCTTGCTTTACAACTGAGTAACGAACATTAAACATTTTAGCTTAGCTACAGCCTGGGTGTATCAGTAACTACACAAGTACAGCTTGTGTAGTTTTGTCTAAATTGTCTTCATTTTTAAAGGATGAGATGTCAAAGATTTTAGTGACTGTCAACCCACCCCCAAATTGAGGCTTTTTACTTTTCAGAAGGATGCTCTTCTAGTTCACCTTTACTGTGGGTATTAATGAGTTGCTTTAAAAGCAGTTATATTCATTGATTTCTTGCTTGAAAGTGCACATACAAGTGAAGCTGTGCTATAGACCTTTTGTGTTTGTTTTATTTCAGCAAGCGCAGTGTGGCATTGACCTGAGACATGTCAGCATCGTTGAGCTGGTGGGGGTTTATCCAGCTCAGATCGGGAGGATTGGACACAGGCTCATCCATCCTGGCCTTGCTTTACAGCTCAGGTGTGCGGCACAGAGCCCTCTACAGCTGCTGGCACTTGGCCTCTAAAAAGCCAGAGATCTCCTTGATAAAAACACGACAAACTGAGCAAAATGCATGTACACTATATCTACTAAAGCTTGTGCTCATGAAATGATTAAGCTAGCCAATTAAAAGACCAACTGAAGATTAGAATAGACATAATTGCTGGTTTAAGGTGGTGAGAAATGTAAAAACCTTTTGAGAGTGGATTTGAATCCTTTGTAATTAAATTTAATCATGAGTATTCACTTGTTTTGTGATGAGAACTGTGCAGTTTAATTTTAAGGTGCCCTCTTAAGGTTTTGATTTAATGGATGAATGAAATTCAGTACATACTGCATTTCCAGACATTCAATGTATATGCAACAACCCATTTTTTATCTGCATTTTAAGGTGCAACTCAATTGGACTGTCTGGATAAAGGGTTTCCTGGTACACTGAGGCACACCGCCGTGCGTCCCCAAGTTAAAATTCAGTTCGGTTATGTTTGGGTGCCAGTTCATTCCAGTGGCAATATCATGGTGCCTTGTGATACATTTGCAATGAGGGAAATACAAGTGAAGCAAGAATATAAATGGTTGCTTTGACATGTGTACTATAGCTCTTGAAAAGCGCACCATCAAAAGTTAATGGGTAATGTTGTTTTCACAAGCCCAGTATAAGAGGCTCTTGTGTTTTCCTGATTTTTTTTATTTATTTTATTTATCAAGAACTTGATAAATGTCCCTTGGCCCTTTAGGAAATGTGGAAATGTTTTTTTTTTGTCCACTTTTTGTGGTCAGAATTAGTTGCCAACGTTTGTCAGGTAATTTTGAACTAACACTTTTTGAGGGTGTGGTGTCAGTGCATAAAGAAGTCTTCACAACCTGACCAAGTTTTGATTAGGGATAGTTGTTGATAGGGTAGAGAGAGATGCAAATCAAAATGCACAAGCAGGTGTTCTGGAGTCAAGATATTTATACAGTATGTAGAAGAGCGGAGGTGAGTGAGATTAGGGTTCTGCTGTACCTCCACCCTAACTTATTTAAAGCTCCAGTTGCCTTTTCATGTCGGACTGTAGAATTAATAACGGAGTGTCTTGAACTTCAAGCAGAACATTTGACACCGGAACATAAAAGGCAGCATTGTAGCAGGTGATTGAAATTTGAGGCCACCAACGGCTCAATCCTTCTAGGATACCAGAGCAGCTAGCGGACTAGTGTCGAAATTTCACATGAAAATTAAAGGACAAGGTGGAGTTTGTCTAATTGTTACCTCCCCCCCCCCGCCTTTTTTTCCCCCAGGTTACTGTTGCAGATTTCCCACAACAGCTACAATATGGTTCTCGTTGACAAGCACGGGACGGACAAAGAGCGCTACACCTTCCCAGTCACTGCTGCCGAGCTCTTCACTCTCATCGACTCCTTCCCTCTCCGGCAAGAGGAGATGAAACTGCAGCAAGAGGCTGGCCAGACCTGCTCTTAATGTCCACTGTTCATTTCCCCCGTCCCACACTGGATCTTTCCCTTTCACCTGCTCTTCCCTTCCTGTTTCCCCTCCGAAGGTGCTGAGGAAAGCCATGGCCTTTTCTAACGGATGTACAGAATTTTATTCCGCATGCATGATTTGACTGGGTTTTTTTTGTTCTTTAAGCTGCAATGTTTTTATTTTGAACCTAGCAAGTGAATTTATCCTGTTTTTATATAATCCATTTTTTAGATGCCCCTTAATTACTGTGCAATCTCAGCCCATGACCATGGGGTTTAGATGCTTTGTAAGAAAGGGGTCCATTCCTTTTTTGATTGGGGGGGGGATATCAACATTTACAAGCATTAAACTGCACCATTATTTAAAACTTGTCCAAAACTAACTCTTGGGGGTATCAAGCCACATCTGTGTAGACAAGTGGTGTAGACTCACTTGCATATAAATGAATGCAATATTATATTGCATTGATTGATTTGATCATGTATGCCTCTTGGAATTTAGTAACTGTAAATTTGTTTAAAAAGGTCCTTTTCGGTGAATCTAGATTGAACTGCTGACAGTCATCTTCCAAGAACTTGCTTTAGCCTCAAATACAAGTGGAAAAACAAGTGTAAGGGCCCATAAAAGAAGCTGACCAGTTTTATTTTGGCAGAAATATCAATGTCCTTGTATGTGTTTTTGTAAAATCCATGAAAGCTAAGTGTTGAATTCTTAATTAGGACACACTGCTTAAAAGCAGCAATTCCAATTTAAACTGAGGTATGTAACTTGAATAATATCAGAAGCATAAGGCTGTAAGTTCTGTGTGGAAGAGAACTCCTGAAATGCACAAGATGCACAAGATTTTTACTAATGGGAGTTTGTGCTTTTTCTCAGAATTCAAGTATGGCTAATTTTACTTAAACTAAGAAACCCAAACCATTTTCCTGTTATGTAACAGACTTCTGATTTCCATCAAAATCATTTTTAAGAGCTCTCCATGGTTACATGATGTACTACAGATAAAGTAACCACTCATTTGTGAAAGCAACACAAGAACATTACATGTAATTGCTGATACCTAATGGTTAGAGACATTTTTGTAAGATGGGTAGACAACATAATTGGTCTTGAAAGGCCAGGAACTGGAGATAATGTTGGGAGTTGATGGCACTATAAATTCTGTGATTTTACTTAGCATAACAATGCTTGATCTAGTTTTAGATTAAACATGCTTCATGAATGTGTGGTGCACTTGATTTGACATTTCTTCTGGTTAATGTAAAGAAATCCTACCTGCAATAAGCATTTTAAGACACCTGCCCCTCCACCCCAAAGAAAAAAGTGTACCTATTTCCAGCTCTCAAAAGGTCAGGCTTTCACATGTTTTACTAGATGCATGAATTACTGGCTCCATGCAGTGCATAAGTAACTCATTATAAATGCAGGCACATGAGGTTTTACAGTTCCAGTTTGGAATGACAAACTACTTTGAGGTAAAGCTAACCTCTGTTTAAGATGGAGAATCAGAATTGGGTTTTCAGCTAAATAAAATTTCTACCTTTTCACCATTTAGGAGGATGTGCACAGTGATCTCTAAAAACATTCCACTAACATGCAGTCCTTCAGACATATCATTTTAATGTCAGGAGGAGGCAGAGGTACAGAGATGGCTACAGTGAGCACCAGTCATGTGAAATGCAGGCACACTGTAGGTTGAACAGCGCAGTACTATTCATGTCTGTTCTGCTGCACTGTTGGAAAAAGTGCAGACAAATACAATGCAGAAAGGGAAATTACTAAATACAAAGTATCCATGGGTTAGAACGTAATGCTCAGAAGGTCAAAATACATAGAGTAGGATCCAGAAGCTTCATTCTGCTTCCAGCACATGTAGGTCTTTTGTAACACTAGAAGTCTTGCTCATTTCCTGGACAACCCTGTTCTGACCCATGTAGTCCATTAACCAGTTATATCTGACTTCTAGGATTATTAGAACTTGTACAGTTCATTACTGAATTTAATTTGAATCAATAAGTTGACGTTTCTCCACCATGCTTTAACTGTGTTTGAAGGATTCTAAGCTTGCAGTTTAATTGCACCTCCTAGGTGATACCAGAGGTGGAACAGAAACCAAAGACTAGGTTCTCAAGGAAAAGCAGTGGAAAAGCAGCTATTGAAGGTGGTGGTGGAAGAAAGACTTCTCTGCTGTTTATCACCATTAAAATGCTTCTCTTTTGACATTGGAGGACATCTGAAGTTTTTGTGCAATGAAAAGGTGAAGCATTACTATTGGTAAAATTGGTCTTCTCCAGGGATAGCTGCAATGTTTGGAATCAAAGCCACCTTGCAGCTTTTATGGAAAAATGTAATTTTACTATAAATAACTTGAATGTTACAAGGAAACGTACTGTTATGCCTAGTAAATGCAGCTAGTTGACCTTGCTTTTTGATAAAAACAGGGCACACCTGATCAATTCCTTCCAGTAATTAAAACATTCCGTTGTGTATTAGGTGAATTTATTGCTCATCAAACTGAAACAGAGCAATGGGAAACATACTTGTATGTGTTGTAAATGGATATTGTCAGGTGTTAAGTTCATGCATAGCTTGGAATTGGCACCCTGATGTTGACATCTAAATAAAATACTACAACAGGTTTGTTTTAAATGCATTTGTCATTACACATCAATGCAGTGCTAGCAATGTTTTCCTTATGTAAATGTTCTGACCATGGACTGTCTAGATAAATGTTAATGTTTTAGGTTCTTTATGTAGTTTTAATTTGGTAGGAAGCTGCTCATTCCTAGAAATGGTGTTGTTAACCAGGAGACTGTCCTGGAAAAAATTGATCCACCGCATCTTAATTTTGCGGATTAATTTTGATCCGTTGTAGTATATGTGCTGAGATCCACATTGCCCAAAGGCCTCCAATAACTGGAGAATATGGTAATAACAGTTGTGCTTTGTCCATGGTGGTAATCTGCATTTTCTTATAAGCAACCTCCATTTATCAAAAGGAACTTGCTATTTAAAGTTATGATACACATGTTTTTATGTCTATATAGTGTAATTTTTTTTTAATCACAGTTCAATTAAGGAAGTTGCATCTCAGTACAGAAGTGATCGATTCATATTCATGTTAATGTGTATGTTGCAGCTGTGCTTTTAATTTTGAATGTAAAGGAGATTTTTTATTTGGGGGAGGGGGGGGTTGTGTGCATTTATAAGGCATTACACAGTACTGTTTTCCTGAACCGTGTACGTCAATGCTGTTTGAATGAGTTGTACAAAAAAAAAATCTGTGAGGGAAAAGGGGATTTGAAAGAGGAGTAAATCTGGTTTCCTCAAGTCTTCCTTTTTCCCATGCTTGACCTCAGCATCAGTGTGCACTCCTGAGGGAGTTCGGGATTGTCAATCATTCGCTGCCAAACACTTTGCTCCTCTCCCTGAGAATCCATCCAGTCCACTTCATTCCCATAGCTCAGACCTGGAAATTAGAGTACAGTTCAGAAAACACCAACTCGTTCCTCATCTACCGTAGAGCAACGGAGAACGTAAGTAGGGCATCTCTGTGGCTCAAAGTCAGTGTTTGCTCAGGGTACAAGTTGAGCTCCAATTTAGACAGTGTTTGAACCTGGTTCTCCTTAACTTCTGGACTGGGACCATAAGTTCCCATGTGGTAGTGCAATCTTGTCAGAACACTAGGATTGGGATGGTTGGCCAAGGCTCACTTAACTTTCTGATCAACAGTAGGACACATGCAGGTTTGCAGTTGTGTCGGTGAGAGACCTGCTTGGGTCTCCAGTTGGTGTTAACTTTTGTCAGGCCTTGTAGAGTTTGATGTGTGAAATGATGCATGGTTCTGAATGCATATCTTTTGAAGGAGCCTATTCTCCTGGGAAACACAGGAGTTAATCCCAGAAAACCAAATCTTTAAACAACTAGCAATTCCAAACTGGGTGTGTAATACAAATCAGGGTGCTTGTTTCTCGATTGCAAAGATGGTATGCAAACCATTGCAAAGTATGGTGTGTGTGTGTAAAGATAAAAATGTCTTTAGTGACCTGTCTCAAAGTTGGAGCATCAGCACTAGAAATTTGATGCTGCAGGAGTGTTGAACCAATGAGAATCTCACCACTGCCTATGCTCAGCCGGACCCCTCCCAGAAAGATGTTGCTGGACAACGACTCCTTGTCCCACACGGTGAGCTCCAGACAGACGTTGTGAAGGTCACTGGGCTTCAGGCCGCTGTAGGTAAACGTGTGGTTCCACTGCGGGTTCACGCTCTTCTTCACAACTGGGGTTTTGTGCTTTGAGGCTTTGCTGTTGTCTGGAAGCAGGTATCTGGTTTTGCAAAAATAAAATTGGTACTGTGAATGTACACACACATTTTTTCTTTTGGATGTACTGTCATTCTGGTTTCCTCCCGGACATACAGGTAGGTGAATTGGCCCGTGTGTGTGTGCACCCTGCGATAGACTGGCATCCAGTCCGGAGTGTATCCTGCCTTTCACCCATTTCTTGCCTGGTTAGACTCCGACTCCTCTGTGGCCCTCTATTGGATAAAGTGGTTAGAAAATGGATGGATGGAGTAACTACATTGGAGTGTGAAGTTTCCAGTAAATATGGGTCAAAGAATTCACACTATTTCTAAGAGACCCTAAAGTATGGTCTCAAAGTGTGTTTCTTAAGCTTTGTTTCTGATTCAAGGCTATTACAGATGATCTGACTTCATGAGCAAGGTGTTTCTCACCCTTTGACAAAAGTGTCTGATGTTCCTCCAGACTTCACTGCAGTCAGGTTTTTGGCTTCTTTAACAACTAACTCCACTACTCCACCTTTTGGCAGCTGGGCATTAGTTTTCTTTCCTTTCATAAAACTCTTCTTAGCTGTGGGAAGAGAAAGTATTTTTTTTTTTGCATTTTCTTATTAAAGCTGTACTGTAAAGTGGCAAGAAACAATTGCAGGTTTCTCCAGAGGAGCACGGGAACGAGAAGAGACGAGATAGATTAAGCCTCTGCCCATTCATCATAAGGCAACAGCGATACAAGTTAGAAAGAATGGACTTAGATTTATTAGGTCAGCCAAAAAATGTTTTTTTCCTCCATTGAAGAGGACACTTCCTTTCAGTTTTAAGAAGCCTGAAGTTAACAGTCTGCCACTAGAAGAGAATACCTTGAAATGGCTCCAGAGGTAATGTGAGGTTTTTCTCTGGTGGGATGTATCGCAGAACTACAGTCAGCTCTCCTTTGTACTGGAGGGCTGCATCCATACAAAGATCCACCTGGGAAACACATACTGTAGGATATTAGTGGTAATCTCTTAAGACTGAGCACTGCAATAGCTGCCTGTGTTTGCAATAATATTAAAACATTAATGTAAAAGCATAAATTGTTTTATGCCCGTTGTGGGCTCTACCAACTGTTTCGGTTTCTGTTTTAAGAAAATCAGTGTCCGATTCATGCACATGTGAGAGATCAGCTGTCTCTAGTGTGAAATACTCTTTCAAAGACTGGTTCAGAAAGACATACTGTCTTTACATACTGAAAGTATACTGTACATAAGTGTAACATTAAGAGAAAAACAGAATTGCTACTGTATTACCAAATCTTGATTAAAATGGTTGAACTCTTTAATTTAATTCTGCCCCTCAGTTTAATTAAGAAGCTTCCAGGATCTGATTTTCTGTGTCTCAATCCTTCTGTACTGTTGTCCTAGGAACAAGCTGATTACGTACCTTGGGCTGCAGGGAGAACCATTCCTCTGTTTGGTTCTCAAACTCCCACGAATCGAAGGGGACTTCCACCTCTCCCAGGAAGCTGTTGTGTCCAAACCTGTCATTGTGCCACACAGACAGCTGTAGGGTCCTGGTCTCCAGCTGAGAGTGGCTTATTACATACTGCAGGAGAGGAGGAAACCGGTCTGCAGTCATTGATCTCACAAAAACAGCTTCAGGAACAAGAGCTCCATTTCGCTCACTTTCCACCATACCCTGTATTGTGAATGGCTTCTTGTGTGCAGGCAGTCATGTTGACATTAGGACAGTTTTGACAGCACGCGGCCAGAGAAAGGTGCGTTTGACTTAATTCCTGCTATAAGGGGCCCTCAGAAAAGCTTAGCTTTGGTACCCTGCTTTTTCTTTCCTTGACGTAATCTCTCTGTAGAGTGTGCTTAATCTTGACTGCAATTCTATTGTGCTCTCTCTGGGGTATTTGCTACAGCTTGGCTCTATAGGTACCTATATTGGAAGGCAGCCAGCTTAAACCATTGCATTCATTTGCCATGAAATGCTGACAAAATCAGACATGGTTCTTTTGCCAGAATCCATGTAGAAGTTTCTTTCAGGTGTCGAGTTACAAATGTTAAGGTAACACCATACAGAGGATACAAACTAAATAAAATACCTTGCAAAATTTAGCTTTCACCTACTGTAATTTATTTAACAGTGATTTTTTAATACCTTAGTGTATGTCTGCACATAAAGTGGAATTCCTCACAGCATCAATGAGAGAAAAGTCACGTTCATTATCTAGAGGTTCAAGTGGGGAACTCTGTCAGTGTGCATTGCAAAAAGTAAACGTTTAATTCCAAGCTGAAAAGCATAAAGAAGAAACAAATCGTTTTGTCAAAAACCTTCCAATGGAAGCCAAAATGCTGTGATTCTCCTTTCTATTCTTCAGCATGAAATTAACCTTTACTTGTTCATTATTTTGAAAACAGAATTTCATAACCAGATACTGAGTCAAATCTATGAAATCTATGGAGTAAAGATTATTTCAATAACCTAATCTTTTTATAAAGAAATTTTGTTACACTTAGAAGATAATATCAAACAGCAACCTCAACAATATCAATTTGTGAAGTTATTTCAGCATACTGTATTGTTCATTCCATATGAAACTACAGTACATGTCCCTCACCAAAATAATTGGATTTATGGACTTTTTGAACAAAGTGTTGCTCTTTTTTTCTAAAAAAAAATGGGGTGGTCTTTAGAAAGTTTTGGAAGTTTGGGTCTCCAGCAATGGACCTGGAGAGTCACAGTCCAGCAGGTTTTATAGACAGCCTTTAAATCACCACTTTTAAAGGCCTGAACAAATTTAAATAAGATCAATGAAACAGATGGTGGGTTTAACTAATCACTCAGTCAGTGTACCAAAGCTGTCAATGCTAGGCAGTCATCCCTTACCTTCAGGGTCTCATTGTAGACTGGGTTAGTGGTGTTGGATTTGATGCTTGTTTTCCTCTTGCTCTGACGAGACCTGTCTGGCAGGAGGTATGTCTTCACATAGCTGCAAAACAACCCCCCCAAAAAAACATGAATTGACAAGCAAAACCAGCATGAAACCTTTGTGTTTATTGTCATTGCAGTGATTTTGTTCTGCTTAAAATAGAACTGAGGTGGCAGAGGCATTTATTCAGCAAAACGAGCGAAATTAAGTAAAATGTATACAATTTGGGAACTTATATTTGTTTTACTCTTGTATAACAGATGCCCGTCTGTTGGTAATTCCTTGTGTCTAAAGGGTTATTAGTATGTCAATCTGTGTGACATCTTGAAATATCAGTTCTTTTCAACTGACATCTCTTCCATCGCAATCCTCCTGACATCTTGCCTTTATAAACATCTCAAAACAATAGTTATAGCTTGAAATTCATAATACCGCTTGCCGTTTTTATCTCAATGTTATTAACACCAATTTGTTTTGCCAACGATGTGCATTTTAATATTAATGGCAAAATCTAACCCTGTGTTGATCCAGAGTGATGATAAAAATAGTTGTGACTCAACCATGAAAGAGACAACACGCCAGATACAGTATCTCGACAGACACAATTGTAGTCCATACCGGTCAGACCCAGAAAAGTAAAGTAAACCTCCATATTCACTCCATATTCATTTTCTTACGGGTCAGTTCGCTGTTTCTTCTCATCCCCGATGGCCAGGTTGCGACACTCTTTGACCAAGATGTTGAGGGCACCTGTCTTGTAGCTGTAGGTGATGTTGAGCAGGATCTCTCCGCTGATACTTGCGTTGCCATAGTCTCCTGTCTCGCTGTACACACTCATCATGCTGTTCAGGCTGCTCTGCAGGCAAAGACAGAGACACGGTACAATGTCAAGCCAAAGTTACTTTACAGCACTGGCAGTCAACACTTACATTATCTCAGCGGGCTTAGTGCTGAGCTACGGTGCTAGAATTGACGTTTGGGACTGGGGCTAGAGCTAGAAATTTGAGAGAAGAAGTAGAGACAGAATTATAAGCGGACAAGGAGTTATGGTTCATGTCTAGGTTTAGAATTATGAATAAAGTTAAGACTGACTTTGGTGTTTAGGAGTGTGTTAGAGATTTGAATTTCACAGAAAGCATAGCCTTCCAATCAGAAGATTAGGTTGGTCACGTGAAGGGTTCTGCCTCAATTTTAAGACTACAGTGAGTTCAATAATTCCTTATGCAGAAATAAGACAAAAAAATCAGCTTGGTAATGTGAGTGACATACTGTAGATATAAATGTTGGCATCACTGGGTTTACAAACTATCAAGAAACATAGTAGTCATGCTTATTCACAGATAACAGCAGGCTGATATAATACTTAAAACAGTTTTGGGTAAGCTTTTATAACAAATACCTGTAAAAGCTGTCTTTTAAAATTGGGTAATTTAGTACATGACACAAGTGTCCCTTTTCATTAAGAATTCTTTGCTTTAATGGCCTGTCACAGGAAATTCCTACTCCAATCCTGGAAGACTGCTTCATTACAAGCCTGAATCATAATCACTGAGTTGAACTAATTATCGGCTAATATGTAGTGATATAATAGCTTCTCTTCAGCTCTTCAGGTGTTGAATGAAAGAGACATACCGTATAGAACTTGCTGGTTTGCAGCATTTCAGGACTCAAGTTGGGTAAATCAGTACTATAAAGTATGATTTTACAGTATGTGTGACAAAACTCAGGATAAGACGTGCAAAGCAGAGAAAGAGTGAAAGGTAGCATAGAGCACTTACAGTTTCTGCGTCAGAGTCAGGGACATTAAGATAGTTCCACTTTCTCTCTGAGCCAGGCTGAGTGGAGCAGAAGAGGAAGCACAGAAAACAGATTGGAAAGGCAGTAACAGCCAGGCTAGGGGCAAACGTCCTAGTGATCTGTGTCTGAGATCTCTCTGACCCTCGATGACATAAACAGCTTTACATTCTGTATCTGTTACCAATGCTGACAAAGAGGAACAGACACATCTTGTCAGATTGAGCTGAATTCAAACTAATTTCATCACAAGGTACTGGCTGGAGAATGAGCCAGACAGATACGAATGTGTTTTGTCCTGCACATGGAAGAAAAAGCTTCAAACAATTAAAGGAAATTCCGTGTTTTTCAGTGCTCTGTTCTGAAAGAGTAGCCATCTTTATGTGGTGTAGTATAAAAATGTACTAAACAGGTGTGTATATATATTTTTTTCCATCAGCACAGTGATGAAAGAATAGGTTAAGCTCCAGCGCTTGCATCATGGAAAAGAAAGCATTTCCAATTGGATGTTTATTTTAGGACTTTCTTGCAAGCAAAGAGCACTAAATTAATTAGGGAGTTTCCAGGATACTTTTCATTTTTTTGGTTTGTATTTTTACTATGAAGTCGAATATACAGAATGCCCATTCCAGTTAGTTTTTTCATTTGAAATTAGGTGGAAAAGAGCCAATATTTCTGGGTGTAAAAGTTCACCTTTTTAAGATCAGGAACAAGCAGAGGTCAATTCTCTTAAAAAAATGGTGGATAGCATTATTTAAAAAGAATGTGCTAAAGAGACATCACAGAGGGGTCAGAGGGTTCTTATTTGGACAAAAGCAGGACAAAAACCTGTGCAAGTTGCAAACTATCAGCCACCTTAGAATTTGTGAAAAAAAAATTGGCAAAAAATACAAAGTAGAGAAAATATTTTTTTAGCAAAGGAAAAGGTGAATAATCACTTGGAAATGTGGCCAGTGACCAATCCCCTTCATAGAAAACTCCAGCTTGTTACACATTAAAGAACTTACCACAGATAATGCGCTTGTTACAGTTTTCTGAGTAGCAAAATTATGTGCCGACATCAGTTCATCAATGTCTTCCTCTCTTTCTTCATCCGAATAGTTCTGAAATTGCACAGGCAACACTTTCTTAAAATTACTTTAAAAAAAGGTCACAGCAAATTGGATTGTGTTTTATTAATTGTTCCCTGCAGAAGAACATAATGACATAATGAATATGTAATGTCACATCAGTAGCTGGCAGGTAATTCCTTGTAATTATGGAAAACCTTGATGTTCCTGAAGTTCTAACAAAGTATCTGTTATTCAGACTTTACTAGGCTATACATGGAGCCCAGTAATTTTTTGCCATGATAAATACAATCTCAATAAAAACAAAATATTAATGATGATCTTTGAGCAAATTAACAGATATATATATATAATATAAAATTGACAGATAATAAAAAACACCATAAAATGACTGTTCAACAATTCTGTGTGGCTGAAGTTTGAAAAAGTTTAAACTGTTTTTTCAGTTCAATGTTCACCTCTTTCATGTGCAAACAAACCTTGAGAAGTAAATTGGTCTAAATGTGTTAAGCTGTTGCTGAAATGCCTGGCCTCCAAAGATAAGCACTTTTTTTAATTGTAGGGACCTCCTGAAGCAAAGCTGCAGAATTTGCAGTAAGATTTGATAAAAAAGAGGCTAAAATGCTTTGTTTGCCTGTCTACAACATGAAACAATTTTCTCAGCTCTAAATCCATGTTTCCTATTAAAAGATCAAAGAACCATTTCAGCTGAATCCATTTTTTTTTGCTCTTGAGCAATGTGCAGGGGAAGCTATCTAGTTAAATGGAGTCATAAATCTGGTTCGCAGTGGTATATTTAATATAGCCCTAAACATCCCTACAGGGTTTACTTACGGTACAACAGTAGTCAGAGTGAGATTAATACGATTGCTGCCTGGGAGTGTTTGTATTTTTTCATTAATTAATTTATACTGTAAATATGGTAACATACTATACATACTGTAACTACCCTATGCACTACACAGGGTGAACTGATATAAAGAATAAGCTATTAATCAACAGTCTCCTCTATAAATCAGTGGATGAAACTAACAGCCTTGCAGCTGTGACAAGTGGCCCATTCTGCTTAGTGCAAAGGTTAACAACATTGTGTGCCCCTATCGGTGCAATCACTCCAGCGGGGCCTGACTTACCTCATCGTTCAGCTCCCCAGGCACAGACTGACACCGCAGGCTCAGGGTCTCCTCGTTCAACTCGGCACAGGAGCCGCTGAGGTCCACCTCTGACCGGCTTCGATCTGGGATTTGAGGAGAAAAACATTCATTTTAAAGCCAAAGGGACTTGAAAAAGTGGGGGCGTATGAAGGTTGTCGTGGGTTTGGATTCTTAAGGTGTGTGCTTTATTTCGTATTTTGTTTGACTTTATGCAAGGCCTGATTTTGCTACCTATTTAGATATACAATACAGTATGTTTGTGAGGGTTTGGTGCGGAGAACTACAGTATCACGAATAGCCAAATACATATACAGTATGAACAAGTCCACCCCTGTACCATTGCATATTGTACTACAGTATACAGTATATACTGTAGCATGTATGGTTAAAAGACATAAGCATAACCCTTCCTTACAAGATAATTAATAAACACATTGGCTTTAAATTAATTTAAATAACATAGATCAGCCTTCTCTGCTTCTGTGATCAGCGTGCCCCACTGTAGTGAAACTGGCAGTGAGTCAGTAAAGTTTTTCCTGCCTGTCATTCCCCACACTGCTGACACAGAACTGGGAGTGTTTATTACAATATGAAAACAAGACCACTCTGAGGTGTGGATGTGGGGTGCTGAATACCTAGGCAGGAGGCAGGAGGCAGGGGGCAGGGGGCAGGGAGCGTTTCATAGTTAGATTCATCTCACAATCTTAGTCTGTTGTGCCACTGATTGTGGTGCTGCTGATTTCTGATACCCGATAACATGTTAAGGAAGGACATGAAGTGACTTATTCATGTAAGGAAACCCTCAAATGTCACCAATTCAAAGCAGTTGTAGAAGGAATAGTTGGCCAAAATTCATAAAAGCTGATATAGAGACTGATAAACAATTATAGTCAATGCTGCTCAAGGAGGTGCCATCAGTAACTGCATCTAAGAGATAACATACTGGTTCACACAAGTATATTTAATGTTGGATAATTTTGTTCACGTTATAATACAAATATACTGTAGCTGTGTGTTATGTGTTTCAACATGTTATCTTTATCTTTCACGAGGATCTAATTACATTTTAGGTTTAAAATATACAACAATATAGCTCAATCTGGGGGTCCAGATAGCTTTCTCCAGACTGTTTCAGAATTTCAGAGCTTGGCAGTACAGAGTGCTACCTACAGTATATTATTACCGATATTATCTTTAAAACATTTAAAAATACTTAATGGATCCACTGTATAATAATAACTGTGTAACTTGTTTGGTGGGTCTAAACATGGTGCTGTCTAAACATGGTGCTGTCTCAACCACTGTTGCTCACAGCTGAAACAAAACATACAGTACAAGCAGTCTAGAACAGAATGGCTGAAGGAGACAGGCTGCCGGAGACGCAATTTAGAGGCTTCAGGACTCAACTTGAAAACCTTAAATAATTTATATTTAGAGATTTTGTTTTCAATTTGCATATAGCTGCTGCCACCAGCTAATCAGCGATAGGTTGACAGATTTAATGCAGGACTTTGAAGTAGGAAAACTTTTTTCTTCATCTTGATCGGCAATTTCAGTTAAAGAACTGGCAGGTTTATCCTGAGCAGCTTAAACAATACTTTATCAGAACTTTACTGTTATAAGCTTTGACTATACTATGTATACTATTAATCTAATTTCACAAAATGTTTTCTCAACCACGGCCTCATTTTACTGTTTCATTATATCATACCCTCCCATTAGATACTTTTAATTAAGCCATTAATCTATTGTCTACAGTTAAAAACATAAAACAGTATTTCTCCTTAGTTTCAATCTTTGTCAGCGTCTTGTTTTGAAAGTATGGCATAGAAACCAAGCTTTGACTAAGTGCGCTGTCAGATTTTTCTTATTGCTGGTAATGGCACACCTGAGGAGAGAGAAACTCTGGATACAGCAATCGATGGAGTCCCGGACATTTTCCTGTAGTTCCGATGTGCCATGTCATCGTACGTGCCTGCTATGCTCTCTGCACCATCCACCTGAAGAGAAAAAAATGATTACTAAATACAGTCAGAGAAGCGGCTATTAGTGTGAGGTTTTTTTTTTTACAGGAGCAGCATTGATTTTTCTTAAGCATGGAATGGTACAACACTAAAACATCCATCATGACTACACTGTCATAGGTGGTACCTAATAGATTCTCCATTCTTTAGGAGCCCTAAGCAACATTACACAGCTATGACAGAGACACCAGGCAGTAAGGATCTGACAGCTTTGGCTGCAGTACTGTAATCTCACAGTGCCTTCCTGGTGCCATGGGTCCAAGCAGCAGACAGTGCCATACAAATGAAATCAAGGACAGGATTCAGTGATAACTCTGAAGGGAAACCGGAGTATTCCAATGCAGTAGCAGCATTTTTTTCTATTGGTGAGACAGGACAACCAAACATGTTTCTGCTGCGGGGGAACAAGATCCATGTTGCCATTTCTTAAAAGCACTCAGGGAGAGCAAGGTATGTTCTTGTTTAGAATGGTGGATAATGAAGAAGAAACCACTATCCACACCAGGATATTCCCAAATGTATGAACAGGCCCCATGGGAAAGCCATACAGGAACTGGAATCATTTGATAACATCTACAAGGTGGCAAGTGCACTCTATAAAGAAAAGCTCACACAAACTATGGAATCTTTTTCCATTAAAAGAGATACAATGTTAGTATTAACGTGCCTCCAAAAAAAACCCTTCTGATGGCGGTAGCATATCAAGCAGAAGGGACCTAATTGGACTGGAATGTCAGATAAACTTCAGGAGCAAGTTTCACACTTTGTCATATCCTGAACTGCCTCATTCAGTGCAGACAGGTGCATAGGCAGTCCTAAAACAACTCCCATTTCAGGAGCAAGTGTATACATATAGTATACACTCAGGCTCAGAGTCAATTCAGTAGCACTATTTCATTCACTGACTCGAATTTGATTCAGTGGCACTGGTTCATTCGAGTGAATTCGTCAATTCAATCAATCCATCAAATCAATGAATCAAATTAATGAATTTCTGATTTAATGGAACTGAAATGCATTTGTTCACTAAAATGAATCGAACAGCCTGACTCTAATGTGTAGGGAATTATGGCTGACCTGCCTTAGTGAGGCAATTGGAGCTTTCCTTTGACAAACAATGAGACTGCATTTGAAAGTAAGTGCACTTTGAAATCAATTAATTAAGATACTCTTGAACAGTAATGTGTTGTTTTATTGTACACAGAACAAGTCTATCCCAAGAGTGAGCGAATCAAAAGCTAAAGAAACAAATGGTTCAACAAATGTATTAGAAAAAGCACAAGGAAAAAGATTTTACAAAATGATTCACAAACAAAAGGATCTAGACAAGAAAAATGGTGAATTCTGTGTAAGGTAAAAAAAAAGAATAAAAAAGGAGAACTTGAGAAAAGACGAGAGAGAAATGGAAAGGAAAATTGCAATGGAGGCTAAAATAAAATAATGAAAAGAGTGCTTTTAATAGTACAACATGAAGTGAAAGATATTTGGGGAAACAATGCAAAACGTCTGGACCACAAGAATAAAACAGCCGATGCACTAAATGAGTGTTCCCCAAGGAAGAAGTCAATAGCATGCGTCAGGTTGCTCTGGATGATGATGTTTAATGAACACAAGTGCAGGACTTTGCATATCTGTAGCAAAAACATGAACTATAAATACAAAACTGGACACACTGTTCCAGAACAGGCATGTCATTTACAGTACAGTACATCTCCTAGACAATGTGGGGAAGCAAATGAAAAGGAAAAGACAATTTTAGGATATACTGTATAGTTAAAGTGCAGAATTTAAATCGGGGGCTGTTATTGTCCAAAGTACTAGTAAGAATCCATTTAGAATACCATGTATGAATATGGCTGGCACGTTATCGAAAATAAATTTATGGATATTGCATTTAAAACTGGGAACTGGAATACGTCTTTACCCAAAGGGTTCAGAGAGTGTGGAACAACCTACCCAGACATGCAACTGAAGCCGATTCCCTGACGTCTTCCAAGAAATTACTACTGTGCATGCGTTCCTTGGATCACTTATCCTACAACTACCAAATGCGCCAGGTGGGCCAAATAGCTTCCTGAAAGCAATTCACAAAATCATTCTAGATGATTGTGGAAGTACAGTAGCAAGTGTAATTCTTGTTCTCTGCAGCCTTAAAGCTATAAAGAACACTGGTCCCCCTTACCCTCCTGCTGTTTCCTGATACTGCGCTGCGCTTGCTGGGTGTGGGGGATCTTCCCGAGGTGTGAGAGCGGAGATTGTTGGGAAGTGTCGGCACCCCAGATGACTCCAGAGCAAGAGTACTCCCCCTGTTGATCGTGAGAAGGAAATGAACAAAGGAGAAAGGAAACAAAGGAGATGCTCTTTTATTATGCAGTGGTATGCAGTAGCTCAAAAACAGCGCTTGGAACAAACAAAATAAAACTGTGACTGTTTCAATTTAGTGTAAGTAATTGTAGATATAATTCTGTTAGAGGTATTATTTTATTGTGCTGCTGTAGCAGCATCATACTGTTTTTATGCTGCACAACTGCTGCCTGTATTACAGAGCAAAATTTCCTTGTGTTGTAGAAAAACCCCACCATGTTTTGTTGTCAGAATTTATGAAGGGTGTTGGGTTACTTTTGATTCATTCTGGGTCTTAGTCTCAAGCTGGAATTGCTGGTTTAGTAAAGTTCTGTTTTCCATTGTGTCTGATCTTTCAAAGTCTCCTATCCTGTCTCTTTTTATTCATAAACAACTGTAATATATATGCCTGCTCACATACTATAATCACATAACTGTAAGGTTGTATCCTTAGTTTCTGGTTACATTTACATGATTTTATACATTTATTTGATTTTAATTCACTCCAAACAACAAACAAAAAAAAGTTACAATTTACAAACAAGGGAAAGGGCATTTAAACACAAGCAAGCCTTAACTAACATCAGTAACCCAAAGGTTAAAGGATATTCCTCTGAAAAAACAAAGGTAATACTTTTAAACCTTTAAAATTATCAAAGGTTATCCTTTCAACCTTTCAAGCTAAGACTTTGTCAGAAAAAATATGCTGGCCTAGGTTCAATGAGAACTCAAGCCAGTTTGCAAGGGTTAAACGTTTAAACCCGGATGATAAATTAACATTTATTTTACTCACCACCCACAAAACGAGAACAATACACAAAGGAAAACAATTCCAAGAACCATTAAGTACAAGTTAACATAACTGCAATTCAGTTTAGTTGCAGCAACCATTCAATTAGATGAATTTTTAATTTTGAAGTGCTTTGTTACAAAGCAAGCATGTGGATGCTTCTATGTTGTCAGTGTGATTAAAAGTGTTACCACTGTTATCAAGAAGAAAACAATAGCCAATCTCCTGTATGTCTTTGCACATGTCACATTAATATCAAATCGAATAACATATCATTGCTCCTTTTTCTTCATGATACAGGAGGGCATTAAGGGCCATCACTGTAAGAGCTCAGTGTATATACAGTATATAGTATACTGTATGATGATTGCCACTAATGACAGCAATTTGATGATGTATGGTCATTTCCATAAATACAGACTCCTGTTTTGAGATTTTGGTGTTGGTTTGCAGTTCCAGTTGCTGTTCTATAATATTCCTAATCTGCAGACTTCAACCAGGAATTAATGAGACTACTTCATGGCCTCTGATTATTCATAGAGACCCTTAATGACAAAATGGCTTTAACATTACTGCACAATAAATGCTTGCTGAAGCACGTGTGCAATGTTATCAGTTCAATCCCAATTCCTACTTTCCTTGTTATTTTGCTGCTAATACTCAGTTTAGAGAAAGGACCCTCATTGATCTGACCAAATGATTGATTGTATTACTCTACCTACAGTACATCTTCAGCTTTGTGCAGCTTCTTGGAAGAGGCACTGGATAGTTTTTAAGTGGTGGCTTATGTTTCACATTTTTAGATACAATCATCTTGCTTTTTCTATATTTGCTCCCAAATGTTCAGTGAAAAACAACATTTCAGTATTTTTTAAACCCAACCAGATCATAAGGAAATGAACACAATACAAATAAAGCACCTGACTAGTATCCTCATTACTTGGTTAAAAGGTAATAAGTGATTGGTTTAACATGTATGATCACTGCTATGAATCTGGTTCAGGACGTTGATGTACTAATGTTACCCAGCTGTGGGAGTATATTTCATCTCTAAGGTACATGCAGGATGGTAGAGAAACCCCTCGTGCCGCTGTGCCCCACCTGTTGGATCGAGGTGTAGAACGGCCACTGCGAACGCTGTGTGCGTCCAGGTCCGAGGCTGAGCCTATGCTCCGGGAGTCTTCAGCCCGGAAATCCACACCATTCTCAGCTTTGAGCAGCGGCCTGTTACCTCGCTTCTCCAGCCTGAGTCTGCATCAGGGGCACAAAGGAAGACCATCTGCTCATCTCTGCATGCTTACGATTATAACGTACACACACAACACTCAATACGAAGTGGTACGGCTGTGTTTTGTGGCTAAAAGGACTCTTGTCAAAACAACGTGTTTTGTGTTTTGGCTAAAGTGCTTTGACTAATGTTCAGTTATACAGTAGGTACTGTATTCTTTCCTTTTTTCTTTTTAAGGTTTGATGAATTAAATTGTGTCTCATTCTATATGGTAGAAAACTGTAATTCAACAGGTAACTGCCCAAACAAAGGAAACACCAGCATAAAGTGTCTTAATGGGGTGCTGGGCCATCACAAGCCACTAGAACAGCTTCGGTGTGTCTTGGCATAGATTCTGCAAGTGTCTGGAACTCGACTGGAAGCATGAGGCATCATTTGGTGTTTTGTTGATGGTGGTGGAAAACTCTGTCTTAGGTGCTTCTCCAGAGTCTCCCATAAGTGTTCAGTTGGGTTAAGATCTGGTGATTGGGGAGGCCATGGCATGGTTTATATTGTTTTCATGCTCATCAAACCATTCAGTTACCACTGGTGCCGTGTGAATGGGGGCATCGTCATCCTGAAAGATTCAACTTCCATCAGAAATGAAACACGTCATCGTAGGTTTAACGTGATCACTCTGAAAGCAAGTACTTACTGGCATTTACCATGCCATCGAAGGAGTTGAGTGGGCCTAAGCCGTGGAAAATGCACCCCACAGCTTTACAGCGCAAACAGAGCCCCTCACAGTGGGAAACAAGCACTCGAGCCTGTAGGCTTCTTTTGGTGTGCACCACAAATGTAAGCCAACTTGTTGAGTGCAGGGTGAAGAATGAGTCATCTGACTACATGACTTTTTTCCACTGCTGGAAGTAGACCAATTCCTGCGATCTTTGCACCACTTTACCTCCAAAAAGTGCATTTTTAGATGTAATAGGGGGTTTATGCACTGCAACCCCACCACAGTATCCCTCTCTGCGAAGTTCTGAATGAAACTGCCTGCTCACACTTTTAGATTTTTGCAGTCAACAGACTCAGAGTAACTCATTTGCTTTGCCTTGCATCTCAAACCAATGCACGGGCATCACAGTCAAGGAGGATGCACTTTTGTCCACAGTTGCCCCTAGTTGATGATGTCTTTCCCTCAGACCTCTATTCCAACACCTTAGCCACAGATCCTCATAGAAACTTCAGCAAGTTGAGCAGTCTTTGTCACTGAAGCTCCTGCCAAAGTGCCCCAGCAAAGTCACCGAGTTCCTTCTTCTAGTCATGATATCCAAAACAATGGACAACCAGGCGTCCCCAGCATTTTCATATAAAACACATGTGAAATGATTCATGATTCACTTTCATTTGAAGCATGATGGGATGTTAATTGCTTAATTAACTAAGTTCCCTGTGTGGTAGCACCTGATTTCAATATATTTTTTATTTGTTTTTTTTCTCGTGTTCCCTTTATTTTGACAGTTACCTGTATATGTTTGTATACTGTATGTTTGTGAAACTAAACAAACAGTATGAAATAAATCATTTTGTATGAACAGGCCTCTGGAAAGTAGCTACATGCCAAACTCAGTGTGGTTTCAAGAGAAATCACCAAGCTATGTTTACTTTAAGAAGTGACTTCTGTATCATTAGTGTCTTCAGAATTTCACAAATCTGATTCATATAAAGCTTGCACTAACAGGTGACAGAGGTGAGTGTGGGCTCTAAATAACCTAGGAACAATCAGGACATGTTGTACAGTCTGCCTGAAGCAATAAGGCAGGTTCAGAGTCCATTGGGGATCATAATTCATTACACCTTACCTGCAACCTCTCTTACCATACAGTATGAAGATCACCAGATCATTCTGATTTACAGCTGACTCTGGAACCCAAACATAATCTCAGAAATAAAACTTTTTTATTCATCTGCCAGTCCAACACAGGAAGGAACTGGAGCGTGCGTGGCTCATTCCCAGCTGGGATTCAGTCTCTGTCTCTCAGATGCATCTCCCAGCACTGAGCTATATGGTGCAGACGTCAACTACGCCACAAGGCCAGATAAACAGCATGGGTGAATTCAGTTGAACCTGCAGTGCCTTGGGGGTTACATCACTGGGCACATCACTCACCTTACACACGATACCAGTGACATTTTATTCAGCGTACAACTCATCAAATTGAACATTAATTTCAGTAAAAAGATAAAAATACAACAGAACCTGAACTGTAATAAAATCATTTAGCTTATTAACCTTTCTAATGATATTTTTACACCTTTAAAAATATAATTTTGTTGCATAATTTGGTAAACAGAAAATAAAATGTAAGTGGCTGGGGATAATGTGTGCTGTATTTCCAATGTATTGTATATTGTACATATACAGTAATAAATAATGCTTACCCTTTCTTTTTTGGTGCATCTAATACATTTCTGGTGGCACTCCGGCCTGACATGGGCGTATCAGGTCTTTCTTGCAGTGTTTGGTCAGTTTTATTGTCTCCTGAAACACACATAAGCACCAGCACAGTACGTGAAGGTCTGTTTCATCAGTACATTGAAACTATAATCTACAACCTTACTATGGTTATCAGAAAAACAAAATAAATCTATATCTAAATAAATCTAAAGTTAAATAAGTTACACATATCTGTTTACATTTCCAATTGTGTTTTTCAGACAATTGTAAAAAGAACAATGCCGTATGTAGCATATAAATTGGACAGTACACCACCTTTTCACAGTCAAAACAAGCAAAGGAAAAGAAATCAAACCACTACATGCTCTTTTTAATAAATTAAAATGTACATTTCATTTCTTGGTATCCGGAATTTCTCCTTTAGCTCTCTTCTGCATGCAGTGCAATGCTCAATCTCCACTCTCTCACATGCTGGCTTCGGATGTGTGTGGGGAGTCTGATTCCAGACTCTGCAAAGATTCGGCCTCTCTCCCTCTATTAAAGCTAGTTGAAGCCACTGTCAAGAGGGCATCGGCTCATTAAACAGTGCCTACAGCGGTTCTCTGCATACTTAAACAGACTTTTCCAATTCCCAACACCATCTGAAAAACAGGCTATTAATATACTATTCAGGGCTCTGAAGATACTATTATATACAGTATATTATTATAATATACTATTCAGGACAGTGAAGAAAAGATGCTAAAAATGGACCTATGCAAAACAAGCTGAGGTATTGTATCTAAATAACCGAATGTATAATGCATTATATTAAACAACCTCACAAAAGACTAGTCTAGAAAGCTTGTACTTTTGTACTTTGTACTACCATCATGCATTAAAGTAAATACTGATTGCTGAGTATTTTATACAGAAAGGTTCTTTATAAATGTATGTATTTTTGCATTTTTAAAAAGTTGCATGGAGTCCATTTATTTTATTTTCATTACTTTTGGACTTCTGTCCTTTCATTAATTTGCTCTGTTTTTCTGTGTAAAATGCATATCAGTCTGCTGAGCCGGGCTCTTTTGCTCTGAGCTTAAGAGTAATGTAGTTTAAGGACATTCTGCTTAATCTAAAAATGTGTTACAAAAGACTTTGTCTTAAGTCTTCTCTGATTTGTCTCTAAGGCTCACCTGAGGGGGAGTGCAAGATGGACTGTTTAATTAAGTCACAGCCCAGGACGTTTCCCTGTGAGAATCGTTTTGATCGCTCTTCGAAGAACCACTCCCCAGTCACAACTTTCAGATGCCTGCCGATGGAAGAGAAATTGCTGTAGAGAAGATTTGCTGTTCTCAAAGGGTTGTGAATTGCTTGGACCGTTGCTGATACATTCTGAAAATGGCGTCTTGGAGCAATTTTCAACTATGACTTCAACACAGACTGCCGCTAACATTCATTATACAGTACATAAACATTAAAATGTAGAAAAGACAGAAACAATTTTTATTTTCCAGTTGCATAGTATGTGGAACAAGCACTTAAATGGACACTGATGTGGCAGACCTATATTCTTTCAACACACTTGGTACAAAGGCAAGTTCAACTTTGTTTAACACATACAGTAACAGTCTCATCCTGACTTCTGGTGATGTTTCTAAGCTTCTGGTAAACATGCAAACTTTAAGGCATCATTGAATAAGGCCTTTGGCCTGAAGGTCAATTGTTAAATAGTTTCATGTACTCAATTTTATTTGGTAGTTCTTTACTGAAATGTTATTATGCCCTACTGTAATATAACTGATGGTTCTGACCATGAAAAAGTTAACTATAAGAGAAAACCTGACAGAGTAGTAGATGCTGTAGTGGAATCTTAAGGTTTGTTTATAGCAACACATCTTCAAGACAGTCAAAGATATGCAGAGCATATAATTTCTGAGACACAAAGTAACTCTCTGTTATTGTTGCAGTATTGTTTAGTTGCCAGGCCTACTATTCAAAGAGTTTCACACTTATTTTGTGTAACACAATGGAAGACTGCAGCAAATGTTATGGGCATAAAAAGAACAAGCAATTTTGAGTATATGAAAAATAATCTTTATTGAATGGGACTGAGTCATCGAAGGGCTCTTGTATTATTCATATAAAATTGGTCTGCTGTCGTGATAATATATTACTGAGATACAGTATTTAATCTAAAACTTCCTTTCAAGGTGCTGTATAAAACTTTGCATCAATATGTTAAGAGCACACATAAAACCACCTTTAATTTTTAACATTTTGAAAAATGAGTTTTCACTTACACAACATACATTTTTTAAAGAGGATGTATTCGGATGGTGTGAAACTAACCCAGAGCTTACTTACTCCTAAATTAAACCATGAAGCCATTTCAGGTTTGTGACATGCCTTTTCACTTGTTTTGCACATTAGAGTTGTAAACCCCCCAAAACAAATGTTATGTTTTCTTTAACAAAGTTGGATTTTTTGTTTAGAAAACTTTAAAATTCAGAAACTCTGGAGTTTCCGTGTTTAGCTATTGAGGAAGGCCGAGAAAGGGAAAGACTATTTGCAGTGAAAGAAACCAGTAATATAATGAAATGGTGTAGCTTTGGGGTATAAGTCAGTATAGGGAAATCATTGTAGAAACAGGTATTTCAATGCCCCTGATCTTCAAAATGCTGTAAAACTATGCTAGCTCTGCAGAACAGAAAGGCAGAGTCCGAAAAGACTCACGAGATCTTGGCACAGACGATGCACTTCCAGCTGTTGTCCGACTGTACTACACGGCACTCATTGCACACCCGCTCCTTGCATTCCTCGCACAGCTCCCCTCGGTGGAAGATCAGGCCCAGGGCCCTCTGACAGCGGACACAGACCCGGTCGCTCTGATCCTGGTGTTTCCGGGAGCCCTTCCTGCGAATTTCCAGCAGCTCGTTCTTTAGCTTCCTGGGGGACAAAACAGAGAAGGAGCCCTTGACTAGGACACACTTCAGCTCAGTTTTATTCTCTTCATAGCATTATTTATTGCTTGTATTTACGGTACTGGTGTGTTTCTGTGATTGTGTATATCAGTGAAAGGTTCTTAAGATGTTTAAGTCCAGAGGTTCTCCACTCAGTATCGCAAGTAGATCATCTGCATGTTAGCTTACAGATATTCAGACTCCATGTCTGAGAGCCAACATCTTGGCTGTGAAAATGAGGTTGATGGGGGTCCCTGTGTGAGGTCAGTCACTGACTGATGGGCACTGAGGAATCCAAAGCAAAATAACAAATGCAGAAAAATAAGGGATTTAGCTGTATTTTGCAATTAAACCAGTAATTATGTAAGAGATGAGAACATGGCACTCTTCCATCTTGGAGATGTTATCTGCATATTTCATTTATCAAAGAGCCTTTAGTAACTCTTTCAGGTTTTCATAACTAAGTGCCATAAGCGGGAGCATTCCATCTTTTGGTGAAATAATAAAAATGCCTATTATGCTCTCCTGTATAGAAAATCCTGATGAAAATCCTTAATAACAAAAATTTGTTTAGCTAAACAGTTGTCGGAGTCTATAAGATGCTACTCGCATATGTTGAAAACAATATACTGAGTTCTTAAAAAAATGACATGATGAGGTCCCAACATCAATTACCTGCTACCAACTAAACATCCTAAATGGGCTGAATGGCGTCCTCTTCTTTACAAACTTACAATATGTTCTTAAAGGTCATCTTAAAGGTAGGTAATTGATCCAAGGATCTCATCCAAACTTTTCTTGAAAAAAGCCATGGCAGGTTAGTTTGTTCCATACTCTTATTTTTGTCCTCTGGTTTGTGTTTCACTATTCATTCTGAAGAAATACGGTACGCTGGGTTGACTTTGTCGATGTCCTTGAGGATTTTTAGCAGGTCCCCTCACAATCTTCTCTGTTGAAGACTGAAGGTTCAGTTCCCTCAGTATGTCAGTGTTGTAGGACATTCCCTTAAGCCCCAGCATATATCTAATTGGCATATTCTAGACTGATTCCAGAGCAGCAGCAAAGCTTGTCGACATGCATGTCAAAAGCATCAGATGTTTTACAGCTAAACTTATATCATATGCTTTTCAGATAGCACCCCTAGTGAGTGTTCTCCTGTCCCAGTGATGCTGTAGTGAAGAACATTTCTGAGTATCAGCATATGATTTTTATCATGTACTGATTTATGGCCAATTTCCTTCTCCTATTCCAGGATTGATGAGTAATGAGTGTTTGATGGGATTGAGCTTGATGATGATCTAGCTGAGATAGTTCAGAGGTTTAACAGAGGATGCTGGGCATTATCATATTAAACCTCTGGCCCAGCAAAGCAATTACCCTTCAATCATACAAAATCTGACTGATGCCCTGCTGCCTTTATAAGCCACCTCATCCTAAACCTATTCCCTTCCAAGACTGAAGATGAAAGTGTCATAGCGACTTACAGAGGCCTGCAGTCACTGCTTCTGAAATGAGCAGAGAGCTGTCAAAGAATTACATCCATGAAACATGCTGGCAGTAAAGAGAGTTCAAGCGTGTCTTATCACAAAAGGCACATTATACAGTAAAAGTCCTACTTTTTGGCATAAAATAATGACTGTATATTTAACTGGAATTATATCGACATTAAACAAGATTTACATTAATGTGAAAGTTTGTGAGTAGAAAAAGCCAGCAGGTTGTTTATCGGTTGCTGACATTTATGTACTATACTGAATTTAAATCACATCTGAACCCTTACAACCACCTACACTGTAGTGTAAAGAGTGACAGAATTTAATGTAATTAAAGGTTTACGTGCCTGGGTTTTTAAAACAAATAACTATACCCTGCATTACCTTATTTTGCCCTCTCTGTTGTGATTTAACCTGTGGTTGTTTTTATAATTAGCCTCATTCTGATGTTCTTGGTGCCAAAAAATAATTAGAATATACAAAGTACAGAATTGCAATGCAACTCAATGAAGAACATAAGTATAATCTGTTGAGTAAAGCCTAAATGCACTTAGGCAAGTATAGACAGCATTATTCTGTATTGTTAAGTAAATTCTTACTTTATTTCTAAGTTGTTCAGCAATGGCTGATTCTATTTACTGATCAATGTGGTGTTTCTTCATTTGGGAGTAATTGTCAGTTGTGAAGTGTCTTGGCTATGTCCCCCTTTGACTGGATGTCAGAAGCGATGCCTCAGCAGTAAATATTAATTTACTTTCTGTAGAAATTGAAAGGAAGAACTTTACATCTGGGGGTGGAGTTGAGTACTTCATAGGTCTAACCTGCTGCAGTGTGAAACAATGGTAAGAGCTTTGGAGAGCTCAAAGGCCTGCAAGCCAGCTCAATCTGTAATTTATGAGACCTGAACCACAGGACACAAGTAGAAACTACCGTACTTTGAAGCGCACTTAAACTGAGAACAGGAACCAATCCAAAGGGTTACGGGAGTATGGATTGCTTCAATATTTCATTACTGTATATACAGCATACAAACCTGGTGCAAATGGATTGTGCACATACTGAAGTTTATTCTCTTAACTGTAAATGTCTCACAGCTACATTGCTAAATATCTCAGCTTCAGATATCTGCCACCAGAGAGCAAGTGTTCTTTAATGTATACTGTGTATTTCTATAAACCATTTTGTTAAGATGTTCTACCACAAAGTAAAGCATACAAAATACTCTCCATTGGGTGCATTATACAGTACTGTAATAATAATAGCCATTACTGGATTTTAATATTGCACTTTAATCAGTATAGCATTCTCAGTCATTTTTGTAGTATACAGTATGTAGTTTTACCATTTATTTTGTAATGAAATTAACAAATATATTTTAATTCACAGAAATATGTCCCTAAATTAGGAAATAATTCCAGTTTATGCTCTCAGAGAAGTAAAGAATTAGATCTAATGTCTCTACATGAAATGATGTGATTATGGGTCATAAAAGGCAATAGTGTTTTAGTGGTAATCTTGATTGGTTCCTGCATGCCTCAGGAGTGAGTTAAATAGGTTTGTGTTATTAACTCAAGAAAATGTTTCCTTTAATCAGTACATTAGCTCAATGAATCATACAGTCTGGCTATTAGACTACAAAGAACACAGACGTCCTGTGGACAATAAATGATTCCTACAGAAGTTTTATGTGAGCCAGGTTGTAAAGTGGCAATTAAGAGGTCATTTGTTAAGCTATTTTAAACAAGGCTTTCTGGAAGCTTGCTTGAAATATTGCGTTTTTTAAATAATACAGCTTATATCCCTTTATCCAATTTCCTACTTCTTCTTCCAATTCAGAAAGCCTATCCCTGCAAGCAACTGGCAATAGGCAGGGTACATCCTGACATCCTTAACAGGGCACCAGTCCGTTGCAGGGCAGAAACAAACACAGAAATGCACACACTCACAACAAGAGCCAATTCTCCCAGAAACCAATTAACCCAGCAGCAAGTTTTTGGACTGTGGGAGGAAACTGGAACACCCACAAGAAACCCATGCAAACTTCACCCATATCACATCCCAGGAACTGAACCCAGGGCCCCAGTGTTGCAAGGCAGCAATGCTAACCAGAATGCCATCATGCAGCCCTCAAATATTATTACACCTTAAATATAGCCCTATTATGGACAGATGAGTGTGACTGAAAATCTGAGGCAGTAATGCTAAAACTGTCACAGTGCCGCCTCTTCCCTCCACCCAGTTTTTAACCGCTTCTTCTAATGCAGGGCCACAAGGCAGCCAGAGCCTCTCTCGGAAAGTAACGGGTACGAGGCAGGGTACGCCATAAAGTAAAATATCAATAAAAAGCTTGTAAGGCAGGCTTATATGATAAATGACAAGATAAAGACCAAACACGCTGTGGACAGGGTGCCAATCCAAGCAGATACTGTACCCAAAAATGAGGTAGATCAAAAACTGTAAGAAAAACAGTTCTTATTGATAAACACTTTAATTTTTGTCTTTTAATGACTAAAGAGAAGTACAGTATAACTGCAGTCAATGCTAAATGTTTCTGCTAACCCTAATCCTACAGTAGCCTAAAATAGATCCTCTTTTAAATGCCATTTTACCAGTGTTTTTCATGTGGCTGAAAATGTATGTAAAGATGATAGATTATTGAAGATATTAAATTTCAAAGAGCTTTATTATGTCTTTATTATTTCAGACTCATATGTTTGGTTTGGGGAACATTTCAAAATCTGATGCCTGGAGCGCTTCACAGACATTTTCTGGAAATGCTCCTTTGAAAACCCAGCTAGGGTTAGGGTTAGAATTCCCACACTCCTTAGACAATGTTTATGCTCAGTGCTGGATTTTGGGGCCCAAGTCAGCTTTAGGACAAGTGATAATTTGCTCCTATCTACAACTTTTGTTTTCATAGACTTTTGGCTGCTTTTATTGTGTATTGCAAAGTTTAGTAATTGTATCCCAAAACTGAGACAGATTAAATTTTCTAAGAAAAACAGTTCTAATGGATAAACACATTTAATGGTGTCTTTCTTTTAATGTCCAATTAGAAGTATAACAGCAGTCAACGTTTAATGTTTCTGCTAATCCTAGCCCTACAGTAGCCTAAAATGACATCACATTGTTCTTCCTGACATCACTCAAAAAGATTTCACGAGGAATGACAGCAGCCGAAAGCTTGGGAGAAATTAGAATTGTTTATTGGGATGTGGAGATTTGGTGTAACCCTCTTGGCTGAGGGCCGACCTCCCGGCCGTTGGACGGGGAGGATAGGACCCCCATGCGACCAATTGGGTAGCTGCAAAGGTGGAGAGGGGGTGGAGGAGGGATGCAGAAAACGAACGAGGAAGAGGAGAGGGGGACGTTTGATATTTATGGAGACCGGTTGCTTACGTCAGGATTAGTGAGAATTGCAGCAGCTGTGTCGAATGAGCGCGGCTGCCTTCATTCCTCCCGAACTTCATTAAAAACTCCATAAAAAAATTATATTAAATGCTTTGTCACTCAAATTGTACTTCAAAACCAAATGAAAACCCAGACATTAGCAAGTTATTATGAAATAAACATGTAAATCATGTTTGTTGTAAATACTGTAATTCATCAGTAGAAAGTAAGAAAAAGGAAATAATTTGCTATTTTACTGCCTTAAGACTAATGCAAAGCCCTACTGCCAATTGCAGCTGCCATACCTGGTAGTTTTAGGCAGCTTTTTTGTTTGCCTCAGGACTTTTGCTTCTACCCAAAGTTTTAAATACTTAAATAGAAAGTGGACAGGTCATCAGTTTGGATTTAATTTGGCCTAAATTAGTCTAGACTGAAAGTTAAGAAAGGTCTTACCTTATCCGTTTCTCCTCGCGTTTCCTTAGCTTTTCGTCCTTTTGAAGAACACTAAGAATCGACTCTCTCTCATCTTTAAGAAGGAAGGAGACATTAATGATCTCGGTGGTTTTCTCCATCTCCCTTTCAAGGTTAGCCCAAGGGGCAGGGATCAAGACCAGAAGTCACAGAGCAACAGGATTAACCAGAAAGGACGAAGCAAGCTGTCAAGTGCAGAATGTCATGAAATGATTTGTACACATATCCCAGGTAGACAAGGTATTCCACTGTGGCGTCTTTGCAGATGACATTGGTTAAAGGTGCCCAGTTAGAGTACAGACATGTTCCAGGTCAATGAACTTCCATCTAGTCTTTGGCTTTGCTTGCTGTCCCTTGTGCTCAAAGTGTGGATTGGCATCATCCTAAGAACTCCTTTTGTGTCCCTCAGATGACTTAAGTGAAGTGTCTTCAATCATATGGGCACTGGAATAAACAGAAACAATTTAATAACACTGCTCTATGTGGCTATTCTGCCCAACATGGATCAGCCAAGCTACCTGAACAATAAGGAATAACAATAAATATGTAATGTATCAATATGGAATTTAATTTATATGTATTATTTCTTTGTCTGTTCTGTACACAGATGTATGTTAAATGAACTTAGCATATCACCTTTGTTCCAATGAATATTGTGATGAACAAATGTCATTCAGATATAAGTATAGCATTAATAGGAAGCCCTGTGCAGTAAATTATGCTTTTCCTCTGATGCACATAAAAGGCTGCTTCCTGTACTTATTTTGAACACTGATGAAAGGAGTTTGAATTATTTTGGATTATAAATATCATCAAAACCCTTGACTAATGTTTAAAATTGGAATGTTAATAAGCTCATTACAGAATGACATTTGAATGGGCAGGCAAGTTCCTCTAAAAAAATATGTTTATTTCCAACGGCAATGTGTTTCTCAGGCAAGTTCTATTTATGACCTAGCTCCATTGATTGATGAAAAAAACTCATTCAGGATTTCATTCTACTTGAGATGGAACAGAGAAGAACAGTCATCATTAAATGCATCAAAAATCTTGACATCATTAATTTAATCTTTTAGCTTAGGTAGACATATATGATTACTAAGAAACACTAAGAAACAGGTAAAGGTTTATTCCATGCTGAAAAGACAAGAGACACAACATTTCGGCTGCTGAGCCTTCTTCGGGTGTGAGGGAGAGTGGGAACCTGCAGCTGATAAAGGATGGGAAGGATTAGAAGGAGACGAGTCTGTCATTAAGAGAAGGGGGAAGGTGTGATCCTAGTTTCAGGATAATTTTGGTTTCGGGTGTCTTTCTGCAATAGGAGTTCCGAAACCCCACTATGAGGACGCAGACAGAGAGGTCAGTGTGATCGTGGCCATTAGCGGTGAAATGGGAAACTCTGGGTTTGGAGAGATCTTTGATCCTCACAGCCCTGACATGTTCCCTGAAATGGTCCCCCCAGTGTCCATTCCTGTTTTGCCAATAGCTGGGCATTTTGATTAATTGCTCATTCCTGACTGACTGTGATACACTTGGTTTGGACTCTTCTGCAAGATGTTATGCACAAACAATGAATCACCTCATTGTTCAGAGAGTTATTGGGCACAAGTAATGAGGTTATTTAACCTGATAACTGTCAAGCTGTCAGGGAGAGTGGTGCAGACATGCAGCATGTACAGTAGTCATGTACATTACAACAGACCACCCAATGGGGAAGTCCAGATGTGATAGACTGGGCAGGACTGTTCAGAATTCCACTTATGGTGTCCGGTGGCAAAATTACTAGATTGATCACGTCCTTGGACTTCACTTTCTGGGCTTCTTGTGAGCTCATCCTGCTATGAAAACAGTCCAGCAGGACAATGCAAGTCCTCAAACTGCTTGTGTAACAACAGCTGTCTTGTGAGATCAGAACATAACAGTTCTGCCCTACTCGTGGGAAATTGCATATTTAATGGTAGAGCTTAAATGATGTATGGCTCCTAGGGCTCAAAGACCAGTGAACAGGCAGAGATAAAAAACGTACTGTAGATGATCCAAATAGCCATCTCTCTTTAGTAACCATTCTTATCTTCTTGTGCTTATCCAGGATCTACTGAAATGACATAAAATGATTTTACTGATCAACTTCATTGATCAGAATGCAACAAAATTGCTCTGGTTTTGCAACTTTTTTAGGCCTTGATGTTGGGGAGAAAGCACTTCACAAGAATTTCTTGGACTGCTGTGTGCTTCTTTCTGATAGCGACATAGTGACATTGCCACATCATCACCGGCTGAGGAACTGTTAGAATCAATTCTAATGTAAGGAAAAAAAGCTTTCGTAGATCTACAAATTACCCTAATTTCATTTCTCAGCAACGTACTGTAGCTCAAAAGGTACGTAAAGTCAATAACAAAGTGAGAGGGCCTGCCTACCTTGCTTTACTTTCAACTGAAGTGTTTTGGAAAATGTCAGTGCTGATAATGTTATAGACAAGCTCACTGAAACTAAAGCACACAATTTTTATTCAGCATGGGAAATCTATAGATTGTGTTATTGTGTGTGACAGGAGTAAAAATTGGGGACGAAGGCAGGGCCAGAGGCCATTGGTGAGTCAGGGAAAATGTGGAGACAGCTGAAGCTGATGAGAGAAACAGATTTAAAAATGTTTCTTCTCCAGTCTTAGAGATGGGAGCTGGTGAAAAACAGTACTACCACAGCAGTCTTAGTTGGACAGCACTTCAGACCTCTGATGACGCAAAGACCGCAGAATTTATGGGTTTTTATTTTAGCCTGCTATTTTGGCTCTCGATTATGAATCGTCTTTATTCTGGTTTATAAAAATGGGATGGCTCCCAGGTGAAGAATGATTCTTTTTCTTTTGTAAAAACCCAGATCAAAATGACGATCTACTACTGTTTGCCTTATTCCAGGTGAAAATTCCAGCTGTGATTCCTTAACAAGGGTAATCACATTGTGATATTCTGTGACTTTATGTATTGCTATCAGAAGGATTGGATTACAGATGTTATCATTGGACTCTTGATGTTGGAGTGCTACGGTATGTCCTCTGACAATAATAGGCCTGAATTTGTCCCTTCTGACTCAAAGTCTCACCATGAACTCTGAGTAGATGCTTTTACCAGTGGTATAAATTGTTTCTAGAATAAGGGAATTTTCAAAACTTACAGTAGTTAACACTTTTTAAAATAGTATTCAAACAGCTGTACTGTGCAGGATGCACAGCCCCATGAACCTCTCCATTGAAAATATTCTTTATTATTTTACGTTAAAGCCCTGGAAAAGACCCATCTGAGCAAAGCACAGTGAATAAACCAGACTGGCAATAACACAGAGCCTCAGTCCTTCAACACATGAAAATAACATAAACTTCCTGATATCATTTACTTTTAATCACGGCTGAGAAATCTTTCACATGTGATTTCTGGAACAGTTAGAATCACCACTCCCCCCTAAATGTGATACAACTACTAAAACCCCAAACATCCTACTGTGTCTGGCATCTCTCATATTGGATTCAGCCTCTTAAAACATCCTCCATACACAAAGTTAATCACCACATGGCACATGACAAGCTTCTGAAATTGAAATCTTGGAAGTCCATTCATATTTACAGCAGACGTATGTGTCTGAATTTATCATTCAGTATTGATTCATTAAAATTTGAATGTGGAGCAAAATGTTCAATGGAGATTTACATTCTCAGACTTCCTTGAGATCATTAATTATTTACCTTTGGAGGCTTTTAAGGAGAACAAAACTAAGTCCTGGAAAAGAACGGGAGCAACCCTAAAGCCAATCCTTCCTTTGGAATGTATTAGTTGACAATAGCTACTGTAGGTGTGGTACAGTGGTTAAAGTAAAGCTTTCTAATACCACTGGGGGAAAAAAACCAGCATGGCAAACAACCCTCCCTTCCCAAAACACCTTTACAGAAAGACCTAAAAGGGTCTACATACAGTAGCCAATGCAGCCCCTTAATGTACTATACACAAAAAATCACTAAGTATAACTATCACAACACCATAAAAAAGATATTGTTGATCCGCAATCAATCCAGAGAAGAGCAATCAGACAAGGGAATCTACAAAGTCTATAGTCTATTTTTATTTTACATGTTTAATGTTATAAGCCCAGGATTTAATATGAAGTACTAGACTGATCCTTGTATGAGAGCATTGCAAACTATGAATGAATTTATATATCTATAGAACATAATTGTGTTTTCTGTCTTTTGTACAACTCTCCTACCTGAATGAAAGGAACATGTTATTGGGGAGATGTTTTTACCTTTTAAAATTTCCACAATATGTCATAGACTTTTGTTTCATTTTCTTTCTGTAGCGAAAGAGCTATTCATGTTGCCTTGCTAAAATATCATTAGATACAATTATAGATTTTGATCAATACTATAGATTGTAACAAGTGTTTTATATATGCCCTCACTTAGCATAAAAAATGTGCCTCAAGCAGAGGCTGTGAAGTGAGTATTCATTAAGTTAAATGAATCTTGAACTGTTTGACCTCAGGTCATTTTGTCGCAAAGCAATGGCAAGAATGAGAATCAAATCTAATTATTTCTGTTGAAATTGAAGTTGAAATTCTCCCAGTAGCATAATGTGGTGTTTGGTTGGTTGCGTTTGTGCAGAGCCATGTTTAAAAAGACCAAAGGCAGAAAAAAAACAATACCAGCCAAACCACATTGACTGTTAAATACAAATCTGATAAAATGGTTCAAAGATTGAAAGAGAAATGTGTTCTACAGTACATTGTCTTTTAAAAGTAATGTTTTTTGATGGGACTTTACCATTCTATTAGCTCGTTGTAAGTTTTTAGTAAACATAGCCAGGACATAACAAGTTGTCTATTCTCATTCTTTGCCAATCATTGTGCCTTAAATCATAGGAATAAATCTAAAACTAACATAGCTCTGGCCATTATTGATACTGAAAGAAGACTTAGTAATATTGTTGCTGCAGAAATATTAGTATTATATAATATAATATATAATATTATATATATATAATACTAGTATTGGATTCATTATTATGACACATGAGTTAAGAAGAAATTAGAGAACGATTGCAGCTGCTTTTTAACAGAAGGTGTTTCCCACAAGCACTAGATTTGCAACTGGGCTCAGCACTTCTCTTTCCCCTTGTGTACTCCTCTTTCACCTGACGTAATTACTACAAGATAAAAGCTAACTATCTGGATATGATTTCAGTCCCTAGCTGAGTTAAACTTAATAAGAAGATATAAGTTGAATTAGAAAGCTTTGGCTAGCTTAGCTTTCCAGTATCTATTGACTACCTGAGAGTACTGTATATTTTCAAATTCATAGCAATTATTTTTTCTTTTTTGATTTTTGTTCCCTTTTTGAATCCCCCAGAGGTAATTTTCTGTTTTTCATATAAATGTGTGCATAAACCCAGCTTTA